GGATCAGCTACACACATTTGAAGAAATCTGGGCTCCATTTTTAGAAATAGTGAACTAAGGAACACCCAAGTCTCAGTAGGCAGTATAGATCTCCTTCTCCTTGACTTTCCCCACTTTCCTCCCCTCTCCCTCAGCCTCGTCTGTATTGTTCCCCCAGTTAGCTAGAAAGTATTGATTTATTTGATTTTATAGGTTAATATAAGGGTTGTTAAAAATGTTTTTGCATATGTATGTTAACACTCAGCTGTATGTTACAAATGGCAAATTTAAGTTTTATTTTAATTTTTTTTGCATTGCGACCTTTGCATTGAAAAGTAAAAGTGAATAAAAAAAACCTTAATAAAAAACTGTGGTTTTTTTCAATTTTAATAAGATAAGAACCATGGAACATATAAAACTGTGTAATCGGTAAAAAAAATAATCTTTCCCACCATAAAAGGTAAGTTAGTTCTCCATTTTATATCTTCGGGTATTTAGTAATTATAAACATGATGGCTTGAGTGGAACATTTAAGAGCTTTTTTTGTTGCAGCCAAAACATTTATGTATGCATTGAAAACATAAAAATCCCTCTGCCCTGTTCCTTCAATTATTTGTTATCCCCAGTTTAAACTTCTACTAAGTGTTGATTCTCATTAATAGACCTTTAAATATGAATTTGTTATTAATTACTGTTTTTAAGATTATTTTTTTCAATAGTCTCATATTCCTTTTAATTCTAATATTGGGCATAGATGAAAAAGCCATAAAACCTCATTTGTTCAGTTTGAAAGCCTACTAGAAAGCACTTTATACTAGCTAAAAACTCAGCAGAGCATTAAAAATAGCAACTCTGTTTTTGCAGGATCTTGATGTGACGTCAAGTGTTGTTAGTCTTTAAAGTGCCACAAGGACTCCTCGTTCTTTAAGCTGTTTTTCTTACTCTGTCAAAAGGCCCACTAGAATGTTAGCTGTTCCAGAGATTAGCTGCAATGTAACCTCTTAATATCCGTGCTTTTGAAGAATGTTGTATTTACCTTTAACTGATCATTTACTCTCCTGATTTGTGACAATGTAATAAAAATTTGGATGCTAATTCAAGAACACACATATTTGTGATTATGAATTTTCATGACTTTAGATCAGCACTATCTCATTAGATGTGAAATGTGTTTTTTCAATTAACAAAATGTGTTTATAATGCAGAAGCTTTCAGTGTTTGAATAGTTTCTCTAATTAATCTCTCAATGTGGCTGCCAGTTTGCATTATTCCATTTACTCATGTTCATGTTCCACTGGTTTCTTGGGCTCATGCTCTATCTCAGCAGTTCTCAAACTGTGTGTCGGGATCCCAAAGTAGGTTGTGACCCTGTTTTAATGGGGTCGCCAGGGCTGGTGTTAGAATTGCTGGGGCACAGGGTCAAAGCTGAAGCCCAAGTCCTACCACCCAGGCCGAAGCCCAAGGGCTTCAGCCCTGAGTGGCGGGGCATGGGCTTTGGCTTCAGTTTTGGGCAGCGGGGCTGGAGCCCTTGGGCTTCGGCTTGCCCCCCCCACACACACACACACAGAGATGGGGCTCGGGCTTCGGCTTTGCAGGCCCTCCCACTCCCACCCAGGGCTCAGGCTGACTCAAGCTTCAGGCTTGGGGTCGTGTAGTGATTTTTGTTGTCAGAAGGGGATCGCAGTGCAATGAAGTTTGAGAACCTCTGCTCTATCTCTTTCTCTAGCACTGCTTGAAAACTGCAGCTATTTCTGATTATTACTCACTATACTAATATCTACTACCATTGCTGTAATGTTTAAATTTATGGTACACTTAATTGAACTTGAAAGAATAATTAGTAACACAAAACAACATTTACTAAAATGCTGTTTAAGACAACACACAGCCTAATGATCAATTAATTAAGTCAGAAGAATGGAATATATGTAAATATGTGTAAGACGGCAGTCACTAACACACAGTAAGACACTTTTAAAAATATACTTTTCAGAATTGTATTACACTGTCATGTAATTTCTTTTCTGTTTTCTTTCCTACCACTTCTAATTACAAAAGGTCAAATCCTCTGGTGCTTAATCAGTTTCTGGTTCATTTTTACTGGGCAAATTTCTGTTACCTTCCCTGTTAGGTTTTTTTCTGGCTATAGTCCTGGTCCCAGCAAAGAAGCAGATACCATTATACATAGTTGGTACTAATTGGTACATTTCTAGCCTGTGCAAAGAGGCCAAGCACTGAATAAGCCGGGGACCTGAACTGCCTTCTTATCCCTAAATATGCTCTGGCTGGAAATGGTTGAGGTATGTTAGTAGAGCTGTGAGGAGAAACTTGCACAGCACTGCTCATGCATAACCTGATCTGGAGTCAGTGTGTTACTAAGCTGAGAGAGGAGGGATTTTTTTCTTCTCCTAATTTTAAAAGTATTTATTAGTTTTTGTGATTGCTGAAAATCCACAATTCTGTGACTATAACCTTTTCATGGCTTGGATTAATCTCTTTACCCCTAAATCTAAGTTCTCATTTTAAAATCTCTAACCTTCAAGAATGCAAACAGATACAATTTTGCCCTTCTGAGTCTGCAACTAGTCAGAGAACAAAGAAGGGAACATCTAGGTGGTATGCTAACTCAGAGGGCTCATTTAATTTACCATTTAAATACTAACATTGTTAACCATTTGGGTTCTTCATACTAGAACATCTAGCATAATTGTTTAGTATGTATGTGTGTTTGTGCTGTTTCAAAGCACTGCGCTGTTAGAGTTGGGTAGATCAGTGTACAGATAGGGTGGGAGGGTGACAACCAAGGCAGAACACTTGATGCACAAAACACAGGAAGAAAGGATGCTTCCACCAGGACAACTTATCCAAATATCCACACACCGCTAACTTCTTAAATCCACCTTTTTAGGAAGGATGTATTAATGCTGCCAGGCTTTGAAACTGTTGACTCAGGAAGTCTAAGTATGTATTTTATAAATGATTATCAGGCCACTAATTTTGTCCTTTTAACTATCCCCTAGCAGCCTCCATAGGAGTCTTTAAAGGAAATGGTAATGCAAAACTTCATCTGTACAAACGGTTCCACAATAATCAATACTTCCTATGACTTGTAACTAAAACTTAGGTTGAGTATAAATGGGGAGTTAATACTCCTAAATGAAAACCAGGAGAACAGCTATGCACCTGTGTTTAAAATTAGCAAAGAAAAGCAGCACAATACAGATGTCATATTAAATTCACCAGCAGAAATTAATGGTACATTTCTGATCTTTTCAGTTAATAAACATAAAGGACATACACTTCAGCCTTAAACAGTGAAAGAAGGTTCAGAGTCCTCTAAATGAAAATCTTGACATAGGTACATTCTCCTTGAATACTTAGTACTGCCGTGAGTGCAGGGGACTGGACTAGATGATCTCTCGAGGTCCCTTCCAGTCCTGTGATTCTATGAATTTAATAGGAATGCTTTGATTTTTGCCTATAAGCCGACCAATATTGGCCTACTGCACATTGGAGCAATAAAAGTTCCCCACACCCTTCTTAGTTGAGTACTATAAGATGAAATACTGGATTTAGAGGAAACAGTAGAGCAAGAGTATTTATTAAAGGGAAAATGTAAGTGTAAATTAGTTGCTGCCAAGAGACGAGGATAACAAATTAGCTCTCTGGAGGCTGATGGGCCATGGTTCAGAACGAACAAAAGGGAGCACATTACTGTGGGGTAGTGGTGGTAAAACACATAGTAGCATATGATGCAGAACTGCTGTCTCAAATTCAGGTTGCTTGAGAACTTTGAAACAAATGTGAATTCAGCAATGATTTAAGGCAACATTCTTATTTTAACTGAATGGGTTTGCCTGGCCCTAGTTTACATTGTCTAAAAGACTGACGTCTGAAACATAAAAACAACATTAGATAGGTAGCATTTGGTGTCATTAGCATGATAGAGAGAAGCATACCTAACATTGAGGTGAACTGCTACATTTGTATAAACAAGCTTTGGTCAAAAAGACTTCAAGACCACTTCATTTCTTAAAGCTTGAGTGCATATTAGTGCATAGCGCCAGTTTATATGTCTGCCTGGTCCCTAGGAAGCACTTCACTTTCACATTTCAGAAGAGTTACTGCCACCGATAAAGTACAAAACTGTAGAAGATAATCTCAACAGAAAAAAAAGGTCAGATTGTAAAACTATTGCTTTCAATTTTCTAGAAAAAAATAATCATTTTAACTTCTGAAATGTAACAAAGGCTGTTGTCAGGTTTCTTTGAGCAAAATTGTTTCCCTGAATTTTCAGAGCTGATTTGTTTATGATTTTTTGATTTGTGTTTTTAAAGCCTTTAAACTCAGGTTATTGCACCATATTTGAAAAATGGTACCACTAGGGTGTTTTAAATGAATTTGCATTACTACAATACCTGCCACAAAACCAATGCATTGAAATAGACAATTTAGTCCCTTTTGCCGCATGAACTTATTTCTGATACCATGATGACACCTAGCTCTATAGAGAGATTAGATAGAAGTGGTTTCTGCAAGAACCTGATTCATTGCCTAATATGGAATGACAAGCACAGCAGAATTACAATCTCAGATTGCATGGAAACCATGTTATTTGTGTGAGAAGTAGAAAATGGGTGGTCAAATATTTTTTTTATTCTATTGCCCCAGGGTCATCTGACTTCTGGGTTAAATGCAGATACTGCTGTAAAAACATATTGTGCGTCAAATAAGGATGTGCATTTCACTTAACTAGAAGTTTTCCAGGAGGCTTTCAGTAACAACATGAAAGAAAAAGTGAATGAACTAACTATATGAGTTTTAAAAAAAATGTTGACGTAATATCCAAATGTGTGACAACATATTTAATGAAAAGAGAACATATATTACTGGGCTGAGGAAATTATCTAGAGTACATACTGTATATTTCTCCTAAGAGCTGTGATCCCCTTTTTTCACCCACCATAATATCTTCATTCCTTCAGATGAGAGTGTTCATTTTCTTGGGAGTTTCAGCAACAATGGCCTGCACAGCTCTTTTCTTTTCTTTTATTCAGAAAGGCAAAGATGTCTTCTTTGGTAAGTAACAAATAAAATGTTCTTTATTTCCTGTTTCATTTGGCTGTACTGTTGGTGAAACTGAAAACACACAGGCAATGCTTGGTAGTTTAGCTTATAATACTTTTTCCATTCAGAAAAGAGACAATGATTGACTTCAGTGAAAGTTTTTCCACAATTGTTTTCCTTCAGAAAAAAAATAAAATTACATCTTTATAAATTCACCACAGCAAACACCCTTTGCACTTGTGATGGATGTGTCTGATTCATGTACCTTGTGATTAGGAATGACTGGTTGTACTTTCTTGGTTGCATTCACAAGTCACATAGATTAAGATGGGAACAATCTTAGAAGCTTTTGCATTTCAAAGTAATGTATAAACAGTTTGTCAAATAAGATTAGATTTGACATAGGGGGAAAAAACAACATTGCTTTTCATGGGAGATTGTGTTCTTTTCTAGACCATAACTGCCAAACAGGAGATCAAATTTGATTCCTGTTATGGACTCTCAGTTTGGTATCACTGTGTGAATTGTTAGGGAGGTCTTGGCCTGGAAAGACCTAACAAAACAGTTGGCTAGTTCATCCAATATAGCTTAACAAATTTAGCACTGGTGAAAAGCAGCTATTTCTGGCAAAACATTGTATGGAAATTAAAACCTGTGCTTCTCACTAAAAAGAGGCAGAGGCAGAGGCAGAAATCCAATTACACCATGTGTTTCAGATCAGAATCTTGTTTGGGGCTATGCGATCAGCAATGCTCAAAAAAATGAGGCAGGCAGAGTAAATGGTTTGGTGAAAAACACCCATAAAATTATTGAAAATAGTAGTACCAATGCCACAAAAAGACATACTGTTATGTGGCTTGAACAAATCAATCTTACTTTTTAATGTAGACATTAAAACCTTTTCAGATACTCTGGCTAGAAGAACAGATGCAGAGCACTCTTTCCTCAGTTGATATACATTGATCAAACATGTTTCAAATGAAGTAGACACCTGAGTGATAACGTTAGATGAATCATAGGAGTAATTCACAATGTGCAGGCGGGAAAGAAGTCTGCTGCTATCCTTAGATCCTGACATCTTTGATGACATAGAATGGCATTTTCTCAAAATACAGGTGTCAGAGATGGATTTTGGAGGCATTATGAAGACACAGATATTTTAAGATTCTCCATCCACTAGGATAAAAATTAACAGGGTATGATCCAAAGAATTTCAACTGTAAAGAGGAGCCAAAGTTGGCTCTTTTCCCCCTTGTTGTTTTCCCTCTTTATTGAACACCTGGCACTACAAAACAAAGAATAGTAATAGCATAACAGCACTTACAATTAATGAAATAGAACATACAATTGCATTGTTTGCAGATGATGTGATACTAATGGTACCAATTCAGTACAATCTATAACTTCTATTCTGAAAAAAAATAATCAATTCACTGATAGATCAAGCCGGAAAATTAATGATAAGATATCTGAAATATTCAATATATATATATATATCTGTAAACTGTAATTAAACAGCTACAAGATTAATTTGAGTTTGTATGGTCCAAACAAATGTACTTCAGAATCAATATGTCTCCTAACTTCAGTCAGCTAAAGGACATTAATTTTTTTCCTGGTATTTCAAAACTGATTTGTTGGATTGGAAAAACACGACATTTGCCTTAGATTGGTTGTAGCGCTTAATGAAAATGGATTGGTTGCCAAAGCTTAATTTCCTATTTCAGGCCCTACCAACGTGGGTAGCAAAAAAGATCTCCAAAGGCAACCCAAACAAGAATTATTACATTCGTATGGAACAATAAGTTCCCATTTGTAAATAAGAATTCTCTTTATTTACCCACTGTGGATGGGGGATTGGCAGTACCAAATTTAGTAAAATATTACCGTGTGGTTTAGTTAATATCACTATCAGCCTGAAACCCTGGTATTCCCAGTAAATATGGGTGGAAATTGAACAACAGGATTTTAAACATATATTTAGCATAGTGTTCTTATTCTTTTTAACTTGGAGATATAGATCAGTACAAAAGAGAAACAATCCAGGGAATATGCAATGTCACATCATTCTTTCACAAGGACACTTTTGGAATGGAATTTGATAAGCTCTACCCCCTTTCCAACTCACTTAAACTCATCAGAAATAATCCAGAATTTCAACTGGGTTCATCTAATCCAATATAAAATACATGGGAGGAAAATGATACACAACCATTGACCACAATGATAAAATTATGACAATCAATGCCATCAAATTACTTATGGAGAATATTAATATGACAGTTCTGGTTTATTGGCAACTAAAGTAGTATATCAAATGCAATTCAGGCAGCCCAATTTTTAGGAGACCATGAACAATCATAGAAACAGTAATTATGGGAAAGATCACGTCAAAAGTCCTGATCTCTGCATGGTATAACCAATCATTACCAATGGAGCCAGAAGATATGACCTTTATGGAAAAATAGAAAAAAGGTCTAAAACCAGACATCCATTTTCAACAATGAGAAAATATCTGGATCTTGCTTGAATCCAGTTTTAAAATATCTGGAGGAAGGCTGGAACCTTATCATTTGTATAACTAGTACGCACAATTATTATAAAGTACTTTATCAATGTTACCTCACTCCATTTAAACTAAGGAAATATATAAAAAGGGAGTCAAATGCAGGAGAGAACATGGCAGAACAGGGATCTTTGTGCATGTATGGTGGGACTGCCCTAAGATAATATTTTGAAGGAAAATAAACAGAATTTTCAAGGTAAGTAAAATTAGTTTACACATAGACCCCATAGTGGTTCTATTAAGTTACAGCCCAAAGGAGGTTACTGACTCAGAGAAGACCCCAGTACTAACATAATTACTGCTCGGCAGCTATATGTGATGATAGCTCCTTTTTCTGGAAAATAATAGCTCCCTCAGCATTGGCCACATGAGAAAGTATGGGAAATCCTTTCAATGGAAAAATTACAGACAGCCTTATATCAATATTAAGTGGATTTTATGAAGGAAAGTTTATATCAGTAAATATCTCAATGATCAATACTCTTTGGATGACTGTTGTCTCCAATTTAACTTTTAATTTTTTAATGTGTAGGAGAAACTGAAGATACCTACATTACCAGTGCTATCCAGGAGGGGGCTAACATGGTGGATGATCCTATATACCATACACTGAAAAGGTAAAAATGGTCTGTGTGTCAGTTTTGCCATTAATTTCAATGTGACCCCTGTTGGGCCATGAGGATATCTCTTTAGGGGAGCATGCAATGTCACATCATCCCTTCAAATGTTGTGAACCAATCTAGTTTGTATAATATCATATGCTGCACAGTAGTGCAATATTTTATTCATTAACTACTAAAGCGTTACTATGTAAAAAAACGAAAAATACTCTAGCAAACGAGTGTTTTCTGATTGTTTGAATCCAATGAAAGATGTCAGACAGCATGAATCTTTGAGGCAAACTAGTCTGAGTTTTCACATAACCTCATTTATTTATTGGGCTAAAGTGAAGCTTTAAATAGCAACTATATTTTACCAGCATCTGAGTGAGATAGAAACAATGGGTGATGTCGTGGCTCCCTCAAAGGTAATGGCAAAAATCCCCTTGACTTCGGTGGGGCCACAATTTCACACGGTGAGTCCATGTTAAGCAGATTTTGGCATGAGATGATGTTAGGGACTGAACAAATTCAGTAGCTTAACTAATGCCCAATGGAAGAATAGAGGTGAGTTGTTAAAAGAAATGTGAGTTAAAACACAAAAACAAAAACAAAAAAAATAGCTTGTTTTTTTCACAGTGAAGTTGGAGCCTCGATGGTGTCGGGGAGAACAGTGAAGACGGCAATCCAATCACTGTTTGGTCAAGATGGCCGGGGGGGGGGGGGCACTCAATGTAAAATGTACCATTATTTGGCATGGGATCAAGTGATTTCTATGCACAGGTAGCTCTAAATATCTAAATGTATGTGCTACCCCAAATTTGTTTCTCTCCCGTGCCCTCCAGCATTTTTACATTTGTAGATGTCCCTGAGGCCATTGTGCAAACAGGGTTTATCTGTCTATGGTGAAAATGACTTGAGATTCGTAGATCCCAGGAAAGCTTCTTGCAGTTCTTTGAGTAGACTGAGTATAATAGAAGGTCACTTTTGCTTAGTTGCCTAAATATGGATTGGGGGGTCTACAGCTCTGCAACCAAATTTGAAAATGTTGGCCTTAACATATTGATGTCTCAGTTTCTTCATGTATAAAATGGAGCTGGTAATATTTACCACTCTCACAGGGATGTTGTGAAGGTTATTTGATTAACATTTGTGTAGTGCCTTATGGATGATAAATGTCAAGTATTATTAGTACTGCCAGTTGTGCTGCTGGGTTGTTGCAATCCATTAGAAACTAAATTGCAATCCAGCTAATTTCAGATAGGGCACCATACTGTTTAAATTCTTTCAAAATGTTAACAAAATAATAGATATACAAGATATAAAGTGTTGCAATGTTCAAAGTTCATTTTTAATGTTCTTCTTAATAGAGGCTTCTTAGGGAATAATAATAATAATGAATAATATAGAAAAGACCAATCAGCAGGTCCTATTTTCTTTACCTATTATACAAAGAACACAATGATTGAAAATCAGATGACAAATTATATCTGATCCAATGAATATTTGGTTGACCCGTGGAACCTTCTAAGGCAGGATGTTATTGGTGAAAACAGCTTAGAAAGAGTAAAAATGTAGTAGGCATTTTACATGATGGGCTTGATCATGTAAGCCTCTGAGCACTCTGACCATATCCACTAAGCACATACTTAAATGCTTTGCTGGATCAGAGCCAGAGTGCTCAGTAGCTGCAGGCTTCAGTTCTATATGAATACAAATAGCACCTCCAGTTACATTAATTAGTATAAAATAGCAGGGCTGTCAATCTTCATAGTTCAGGGCATAAAATGATCATTAACTGAAGTCCATAAGAAATATGCCCTATCTTACATAATATTACACAATTCGGTGCCTTTAGGCCAATTCAGTAGGTCAATGGGTCCCATAGAAGTTAATGGAAGATTTGCTATTGACTTAATTTGGCCCTATGAGTGTGTCTTATACCTTCCTCTTAAACATCAGACTTCTGGCCTTTGGAAGAGACAGGATACTGGACTGAGGGGGCTGTTGGTCTGTTTGGATAGTCTGCTAAAGCAGGTGTGTTCTTAAGTTCTTCAAATGCTTCTGTATTTTCAAGTTACTTTAAAGGTATGTGCAATTTAATAACCTAAACTATTTTCTTTATATGTAAAAGAATATGGTGCAGTTGAATTAAGACTTTAGTGAGCACAAAGCCTAAAAACTATGAGAAATGAATCTTACTGCATATTTGAACTTCTGGAAGTTATGGAATTCATAATGCTGCAAAAACTCAAATCATCACGCTTTAGCTCATAAATAACTGAAGAAGGCCACAATACAATACAAATGAGTTCAGCTCTTGAGAATGAAAAGCATTTCTAGGATGAAAAGGCAGTTTCCTATTCAGTGTGGGATTGGGAAACTCTTAATTATTCCAAGTACAACAGTACAAAATTATGTTTGCTGAATTCATGAACTAGGTTTCCAAACTGCAAGCACACTGAGTGAACAAAACTAGATTTTATTTATTACTTCAACTTGAACTAGGTATTTAATATCACCATTTGGACTCTTGTATTATTTTAGACCCTCCCCATATACTTATAAATGCTGTAATTATTGAATAGCAACATATTAAACTCACTGACTTCAGCTACTTTCAATGCTGCTAACTTTTAAAATGTAAACTTGATTAGACCTACGGGGGGCCAGACAGCTTCAGAATTAGAGAGGGAGTGTACACAGGTGTAGGCCCCTCCTTCCCATGGGCACTCTGATGCCCATTGGCCAGCCAGAGGGAGATGGGTGCTAATTGTCTCCTTGCTTCCCGCGAACATTAATTTAAACCCTTGCCTGGGATTTTTTGTCTCCCCCTCCTTCCCCTTAGTTTTAGTATAGGAACTGTGATTTAGGATGCTTTGGGTCAGACAAATTGCCTACTTTAGAGGTCAGAAAGGAATTTATCCCATTGGGGCCAAATTGGCTGATACCTTTGTAGTTTTGTTTTGGTTTTTCTTTCTTCATAGCCTCATGATTAAACAGGAATAGGACTTTCAAATCTAAAAACTAGGAATTTATATGAATGTTTAGTTCATCACAACTTGTGGCTAGTGCACAGCGTGGATGAAAGGGCAAAGGGTCAGCTCCCAGAAGTAAAGGACACCTAGGATTTCACTGCTGGAACTTGGGCCTGTGGGAAAAGGGGAGACCTGAAGTCTTCACAGAACATCGTCCCTCTCTGGTGCCTTCTGCCCCCTTCACAGTGGGACAAGGGAAGGGGATTCAGCAGAATGTACTGAATCTTAGGAGTACGCAGTGGAGAGTCTACCCTGAGTTATGGACTATTTCTGAGAGGCCCTGTAAACCCTGCACTGGATTAGTAAATACCCGGTAAGGGTAGCGGGGGCAGATAACACCAGGGAGGGGTGCTAAGTTTAATAAAGTTGTGGCCTGCTGCTTAAATCCATCCTTGTATCTGTCCTCATTCACTAGCATGTCCTGATCAATGAACTTCTAGCAAAATGCAATATTTTTAAAATAGCTTTCCCAGATTTTAATATTATTTAGGGCCTCATCCAACTCTCACTGTTTGTTGTGCAGTTTATAATTGTCTCGTTATTTCTTTGTGCTGCCCAGGCCTGCTTGTTGTACCCACCTGTTGTCTCTCACCATATAATTAGATTGTTGGTTCTTTAAGGCAGGGGCCATTGTTCTGTCTTTGTCATTATCATAATACAAATAATCACCATTGTTATAATTTTCATTACTATTACAATTATTCTTATTATGATTTATTATTTTTATTACAGTAGTGCTTAGGCATCACAATAAGGATTGTAGGCACTCAACATACACGGAGTAAGAGACTGTCCCTACCCTAAAGAGCTTACAGTCTAACACAGACAAAGAGAGGGAAAGTAAACACAGAAAAGTGAAGTAGTTCACCCAAGGTCACAGAGCAGGTCATTGCCAAAGCCAGCAATAGAGTGTGTCTCCTGACTCAGAACTCTATCCACTAGACCAGGCTGTCTCCCTGTGCTCTCCCTGCCTTAGGTCCTGCCTAACCAGAGCTCTGTTGGACCCAAGAATCTATCTCCAAGCACCAAGCAACAAGGAAACAGACTCAGTATATTCCACGAGAAATCTCTCAAATTAATTTGTACTTTACTGTCAGCAATTATTACGTGGTAAATTTGTTTCAATCCATTGGTTATTGTTCTCTCTGCCTGACGATTTGCTAAATCGAAAGTGTAAAAAGATGATAGTCTGGTTGAAGTTAAGCTAACTAGGCCATGTTGGTTGTAACAGAGAACAATACAATTAGTGATCTAAAGGCTCTCTGCACTTTGGCCAAAATGTGATGTTCTCTAGTGAACATGTAAACCTAAGAACAGTATAACTCAGCAGTAATTACTGGCTACATGTCATGAAGGATTCCTGGAGTTCCTTAGATTTAAGTCACTGGCTTTAGATGTGTATTTCTAGTAATAATTATATGTGCCACTTATTTTTATAACTCCTTCATCCAAAAAGCTCAAAGTATTTCAAATCATTAAGTAATCAAGCCACTCAAAAACCTGTGTCTTAGGTAAACATTATTGTGCTCAATTTACAGGTAGGATAAACTGAAGCATAGTTAAAGTGACTTTCCAAAGTAAGACATTGGCACAACCAGTCATAGTGAAAATACAATGGCAGTTACACAAAATAAAATATATTCATTTTAAAGGTATTTTTCTAAAATATACACATATATATTTTATTAACTTACAATAACATACACTGCAACGTAGATTTAAAATGTAATTAATATACATAAATGTCACTGCACTATGGCCTGCAAAGGAAAACCATACAGCTCCAGTAATCTAATCAAAACATTAGAAATACAAGTTATGGAACAGACCACATCTTTAATTAGAGAGTTCCCAACCCAGTTTCAGGTACATTGGTACTGATTTTCTATTCCCTTTCATGAGACAGGCATGCTTTCTTAGTGGGGCGATGTCTGCAGCTTAACTAAAGGCCCACCCAAAGTCAGCGAATGCTAGCTGAGCTGGAAAGGCTCCATGATTCTGAAGAGATGTTATGAGCTGAGGGGGAAAGATCCTGGACACTCCAGAAAGCTCTGCCTAGGCCCAAAGAGCTCTCCAGAGTGGTAAGGCATCTGAGACAGGGAAATGCATATAGGTGTGTTCATTATTTTGTATAGATCTGTGTATTTCTCATGCTGTTAAGTAAAGAACAATGGTGTTTTAGAATCCACTCTCAAGGATGTCTGTGTATCTGTTTGTTTTCATTGCTACATCTCTTCGAAGAGGTAAACTGTAAGCCACAAGGCTCAAACCTCTGGAGAGGCTTTGGAAGAGATTTCAAAGTCTAGGCATTTGGCTGTAGGGTCCCCCCTGCCAAGAGGAGTGTAAGACATGAAGTCTTCACCTGGAATATGTGCCGAGAGGCCCAAAGCTAGGTACATGGCTTAAACTCTGCCCACCACCAGCAAGCTAAGGGCACATGGGATTCAGAGCTTGGATCCCCTCACAGCAGTCTGGCAAGTATACAGCAGGAGGAGCATGACCAGATCTGTGACAATAACAAACACCTGGCCATAAACAAAATGTATCACTTAGATTTTTTTGGATGAAAAGTTCTATTAAAAAGGATCTTTCCTGCGGAAAATGTCAGTTTTGACAAAAATCCATTTTTCCAGAAGAAAAATATTTCATTTGAATTTTTTGACCAACCTTACTTATAATATTCCCATCACTGTGATATCTGTCTGCAAAGAGATGCAGTATCTTGCTTCAAAGAGTAAAGTTAGTGGCCTTTGAGAAATGTACAAAGCTGTTAGAAAGTATGTTTTGCTGTCAGTTTTTCCTGTTACAGAAATGGGATTTTCTCACTTCCCAATACAAATGCTAAATGTTCATTTTGGTGCACCAAAGAGTTAAACACTCTCTGTGTGTCACAAGGAGCTAAACTTTTCTTAATGATTTTACTCTCCTTGCCATTGAAAGTCATCTTATCAAGAGATTAGATTTCAGAGATAATCATCAATGACTTTGCATCAGAATAATCAAGAAAGAAGCATATGCAGTTTCCATTTAACCAGTGAATACAAAGGCATTTTCAAACGTTAAGAAAAATAATATGAAGAAAAGTAGAAGGGATAGGTACAGTATATAAAGTGTCCTAAATTTTTGGTGTAAAGAGAAACTGCAGATGAGATGTAATATCTGAAAAGACCTCAATTTAGCCCTGTCAGAAATCTTTTAAGAAAGCTTCTTCCTGTGAGATTTCCAGCCCCATTTGGTATAAACTCAAGGTATTAGTTTGGACAAGCTGTAGACAAGCCCTAAACTCAAAGATTCTTATGTGAACTGAACCTAAATGCTAAATATTTTGAGATTGGCCTAATTCTAATGAAAATAGATGAGATTTTCTGAACCAGACCAGAGCTAGGAATGACTGAAGTTGGGTCTTTCAAGGTGGAGGAATATCTTAAGGAAGCAGAGTACATTTTATCTGGGGGGGGGAAGACAAATGACATCCCTGGAAGTGTTTGAGTTTTAATGACAGACTACAGATGGCTCAGAGTCTTCGGTCAGAAATAAATACTTTTATTTAGTATGTACTGCACAGGAGCTATCCTGGTTTCATAGCTGTAACCAAGGGGGGAAATAACCTCATTTGCAAAGCCTGTTCCAGATGCCACCACTTCAGATGCCTTGCAAACTGCTGTCTGCTGCTGGTGCCTCTGTATACCCAGGCGAGTGGACAAAAGGGACCATCTGTATATGCAGGAAATGAAAAATCAATTTCTATGCCCCAAATAAGAAACTACTGTCACTAAACATTACCAGTTATTCACTGACACTCAAGTCCTCAAGGGGGTGTCCAAAAATGAAATGAGTTTCATTTAATATTCTGTAAAACTTCACTGATCTAGGATATCTCTTGAGGGGTATAAGGTAACTCAGGCTTAAAAGCAGGTTAGGAATTTTCAAACACTACCATCAATAAATGTTAGTTCAAGGCAAAAGAAAGATATTATATCTAAAGCTAAAGGAGTATGGCCAATACAGATGAGAAATCTTTTTGAAAATTGTTCATTTGTATTTAATTGTCCATCTCCCACCTTGTGAGAAGGCTAAGGTAATTAAGAACTGATATTTGAGAATTTGAAAAATAAGTGTGATCTGTGCAAGTTGCTCATACACTTTAGGATTTAGGCAACTATGCTCACGTGTAAACACCTCGGGCCTGAATTTTCTCTCTCATACACTGTTTTTTGCACTTCTGTAATTCTTTCGACTTCAGTGGAGTTGTTCCTGAATTACACAACAGTAAGTGAGATTGTTGGTTACTTTTACCCTTGTCACCCTCAGGACTAGAACTCGGCAAATAACTGATTTTTTGGTAAGTTGGTAATTTCAAAAAATCAGGACAAAAATCATTTTGGATCAGACCAAAATTAAAAAAAAAATGAATTTGTTGGCAAATGAAAAAGTTTGAGAAAAAAATGGTTTTGGTTGAATACATTCCATTTTGATTTTGAGCATTTTTACATGTTTTTATAATTTTAAGATTAAATTAAAGGAAATATGAACATGAAAAGTTGGTTTGAACAGGGCCGGCTCTGGCTTTTTTGCCGCCAGGGGGAGGGCGGCCGGAGCGCCGGGGGCAGGGCGGCGAGCCCTGGCGGGGGCTCGGCTCTCTCCCCTGCCCCCCGTGGCCAGAGTGCCGGGGGCAGGGCGGCGAGCCCCGGCTGGGGCTCGGCTCTCCCCCCGGCGGCTAGAGCGCAGGGCGGCGAGCCCCAGCAGGGGCTCGCCGCTCTCCCCCCGGCGGCCGGGGGGAGGGCGCGGGGGGGAGGGCGGCCAGAGCGCCGGGGGGAGGGCGGCGAGCCCGGCTGTGGCCCCGCTCTCCCCGGCAGCCAGAGCGCCGTGCCGCCCCCCTCCAGGTGCCGCCCCAAGCACCAGCTTGGGTGCTTGGTGCCTGGAGCCGGCCCTGGTTTTGAACCAGAAAAATTGAAACATTTAATTTTTACATTGTAAATACAAAACATTTTGATTTTTTTGGGTTGATTGGTTGCACTGTTTTTTGTTTTTTTCTTTAAACAAACAATTTGTGAAACACATTGGTCTTACCAAATCTAAATTTTTCACCACAAAATTTTGGTCAAAATTTTTTGCCTCCTTCAAATTAGGACCCAGTTCCACTATCCTCTCACATGCAGAGCTCAGCTGCAGTGGAGCTCACTGAACGTAAGGCCTGGGAGACTGGGAATTTCACTCTTTGTGAAACAAAGTGCTGCACACCAGATTTCCATCCAAACTATATGTAAAGCATGAGCCTAGAGAACACATCACCAAACTGAGCTTGGCTTGCATTCAGGGTTTTTTCACATTCTAGGGATCTGATTCAAGACTCATTGAAGTCATTGGAAGCTTTGCCACTTACTTTAGGTGGCTTTGGAACAAACCCTAAATGGTTAAATATTTGTGGGAGCTCCTTGCTATAGATTGACAGCACTTCACTGATAGAATATGAGCAGGTGCACAGTGAATTGGAACTCAGACAGCTACCCATTCTGTGGAGCTGTTTTTCTTACTATAAACACTTGTCTGAGGTCTCAAGTTTGATTGAGTGGGCTGTTTCTTGATTGAGCACTTAACTGTATATTTTATGCCTTAAGTTGTCCGTGATCTTCAATGTGACATTTAAACTAAACCTACCATTTGGATTCACTGTTCGGTTAATGCTACATTGTGACTATTGTATTTGGCATTGATTAGTATTTTGTCCACAAGGTATCCCTTCCTATCCTTATGTAATACAAATTTTGCTTCAGGGCATCATCAACTCACAACAAGCATAAAAGGGAAGTGGTTTAGTTCTTCTGGCAAAGTTTATTCTTATATTCCTTCTGTTCTTGATAACTATTTGCCACTTGAGATGTTGAGTGACATTCCTTCTGTCCTCTGTCCAGCAGCATTATTTCTGATGTAGCCATAGAAATGACAGAATATTACTGCAGTTATTTTCCACTGAATATCTTTAGCATTTGCTTCAGTCTAATCTGAACTATCCCAAGTGATGGTGTTTCCAGCTAAGATGAAAAAATGAGGCACAGATATGAATGCAATATTCGAAGTGCAGTTTTACCAGAGGGATTACCACCTTCTTGTTACAATTTGATGCCTTAGAAATTTGACGGGCCTGTTTTGTTGCCATATTGCTTTGCAAAGTCATATCTAATTTGTTGTCCAAAAGTCTCTTTTGGCATGATAGCTTTCCATGTTACTCCCTTTCATGGAGTAACTGAACAACTAAATAGATATTCAGAAAACTTCTGTTAGGCTTTAAGGAACCTTAGTTTATATGGTGGGTTCTTTCCTAAAATATAGTATTTCTAAGTCAAATCTTTAACTACACACATGTGTACACACATTATGATTTGTTGTATTGTGGTTTCAGACCATGAGTGTTTTCCTTCTCCGTCTAGAAAGAGCTCTGTATATAATTATTAATACGTTTCTTAAAAAGGGGACACTGAATGGAATGCATTTTCTCTTGTTAACATGGATACAAATAATTTTAACAAATATCAAAAGATGATAAAACTCTTCCCAGGCTCAATCTTTTCCACTTAAGCCCTAATTACAAATATCAGTATATTTAAAGGTTACACTTAAAAATACATATTTTATCTATGTTATAGAAATCTCCAAAGGAGGGGAATAGCAGCTCCTGCTCTGCTGCTGGCTTTTTCAAAATTTCCTGAACAAGAAAGTCAAGATATTTCCCAAGCATCTGAAAGAATGGAAACTTCAACACAAGTGCTGGAAAAAAAAGTTCACCAGAAGCAGAAACGCTCCCTGCATCCAAGTGGTAAATACAACACATGGGCAGAAATCCCTGTTGATAGTTTGAGGGTTATCTCCTAGATTGAAACTGTGTTGACTTCATTTTTATTTTATGCAGGCAGGAGTACTATTCATACCCACACCAGGACATGCTGTTCCGTTCTTAAAAGCATCTTACAAAATAGTTCCCTCTATAGTGTTTTACTTCTGATTGTACTACTATGGTTCTTGAGTAGCTAAACAGTAGCATTTAGCCATTAGCATCCTATGCAATCATACACATGCACTTGTATTGTCTACAAATCATCTCACAAATATACTGAATGTCCTGTGTGTTTTGTTGAGCTTCTTAGGTCGGAGGCTTTGGTCCTTCTGGAGCCTGAGGTTGGCAGACACAGAAGGGTACCGTTTGTATCTTTTTCCTCTGGGGCACTGAGTTCCTGAAATACGTTTCCTCCAGACATGGAAGGACTTTTTACTTTTCATGGTGCATCAATTTTATGCATTTTATATGCTATTATCCTTGTTGCTACTTTTACTGTGTTTTATGTAATGCACTGGAAAGTTCAAAGTTGGAGAGTTGTCTAAGTAATTCAACATTATTATTAATATTTTATTTTAAGATGGGCCAAACCAACCCCCCTGGCATTTGGGATGTTTGAAATTCAGACCTAGATCCAAATATGTCATGACTTAATACCATCTCTATAAATAATAACATTGCAATAATATCTATTTTCTTTCTTAGTATTATAAATGCACCTTTTTTTATCGTTCAAGAGATGGAAGACATAGACTGTTGCAAACTAACATCAAGCACTACAGTTATCCCTCTCAGGTTTTTTCTTGGGAAATTCATGCCATACACATAAACTCAGGGCTTGTCTACGCTATCCCACAGTTCGGAATATGGGGATATGAATAGCAGTGCACACTGAAGTGCTATGCTGTAATTCCCTCCTGTGGAATGCACAAGCCCACCTCCTGACCTGATTGGCTTTGAGATCCTTAGCTCCAGGCCAGATCTCAACATCTGTATTGCTATTTGTGGCATGCTAGCTGGAGCCCTGCTAGCTTGAGTCTGCCTGCCTGGGCTGAGAGGCTCGCTCCCAGTAGACATACTCACACAGGCCCCAAGCAGGAGGGCTGTGAAGTCCCCAGACTTGAAGGCAGAGTTTACAGGCCAGGGAGGACAGGGATAAGAAGCACATAGCCCTGAGAAAGGGGGCTGTGAAATTGTGAAACTAAAAGGAGATTAACCTGAATGAAGTGGCCCCAAGAGAGGAGGAATCTTGTTCTTAAAGACTCTGGATGTAGGTGTATTATTCTCAGAACTCAGAGGAAAAACTGAGGCAGGGTGTCTGCAGGGCCATCCAAGGTCACAAGGTGACACTCTGGGACAGCACGTACCCACATGCTGCCTGATGGTGTCTAGATTCCAGCTTCTCCCCACCCGCCAATATTCTAATTCATTAATTATGTGTCCTCTCCACCCCCACATCTGTCCATTCTCCAGCCCATCAATTAATAATTGACTTTCCTAGCCCCGGTATCAATTCTACCCATCCAGCCCCACATCTGCCCCGAGTCCCCCAGCATCACCATTGATGCTCGTTCAGTTTTAAGGGTTCTTCACCCCTCTTTCCCCAGCCTGGGGGATGGGCAGCTGCATCAGGGTCCTCTTCACCCCTCTCCCCATTCCCAGGACTCATGTGAGAAGAGGGGGGAGAGCAGACTGACCCAGGAGGGAAAGAGGGGGCAGGATCAGAGCCACCTTGAGCTGTTGGACTCTTTCTGCACCCTCCTCTCCATCTTCCTCTATTGTTGGATGGTGTTGGATGCTTCTACTCTCCCTCCCCTCCCCAAAACCTTTTTTTGGCTTCTGAGGAGAAAGGAGTAGAGCTGTGCCTGCTTCCTGCAGCCACAATTATTGGCTGCCTTCCCTTTTCCCACCTCTTGCAGAAGAGCAGCCAGTCTCCAGCAGATCTGAAATTCATATGAGGGCTGGAATTTCTTGCTTTACCCTGAGGCTGGCTCCAAAAGGGGTTGAAATCACGACTCACAATGAACACTGATGGCCACTGGGCTCCATCTCTTGCCTGTAGCTTCTTCAGTGCAGAGGCATGGCTCTTGTTACATATGGAGGGGGTGTGGCTGCAGAGACCACAGGTCATGCTCCACCTCAGAGGGTGGGGCTCTGGGATCAGGGAGTTGTAGGCTGTGGTCACTGTTGTGTTGGAATGGCATTATGTTTCAATAAAGGAATGCAGTTGTTAATGACAAGCTTTCCATGCCTTCATAAAGAGAGCACCACACTCTTAAAGTGCAATGTTAGCTCCTTTCTGTATTTAGGTCAGCTCACCTGTAACTATATTGGCCCTAATTTTTCACTAACTTTTTGGATTCTTTCCTTTTTGTTTGTCATATGCCCAGTTCACTTTAGATATTGTTGTAAGTTTTATGCAGCTTCTCAGATCCCGGAAACTACAGTAATTTTTAATTAATTCAATTAATAATTTAACCAGTTCTAATAAAACTGCCCAGATCTAGTACCTAATAAATACTATATACCTTTTCATCTAGCCAGGGAGCAGAAATAATTCTGTGTATCTAGATGTTCAGGGATATATATGTATCAGGAAAGACGACTAGCTAAAATGGCCTTATTCGTATAAACTACATGGTAAATTACTTGTGAATAACAAATACAGTAGCAGAAATGATGGGGGTAACAGCCGACTAATGTTAACTTTTGTAATGGATTCTACTGTAACAGATACAACATTATTCTTTAACAAATAGAGCAAACAAACGGGTCATGTTGGGTTGGCTGGTTGTTTTTTTTCCAGATCTTTTATCAGCTGATTTGCTCAGCATGATTGCCAATATTTCTGGATGCCTGCCTTACATGCTGCCACCAAAATGTCCAAATAATTGCCTAGCCAATAAATACCGCCTCATCACTGGTGCCTGCAATAACAGGTATGTACCTTGTGTTGTTTTAGGACACAGTTCTCTTCCTGTTACTCATAAAAATATGTTTTTTGACACAGAAGAAAATGAAATGGTTACTTAAGTTCATGTTAGATTAAAGAAAACAATGAAGAAAGAAAAACCACTATAATATCTCCACGAGAAAAGAAAGAAAACAGTGTCTCCACTATTCAGTTTTTCTCATAGCTGTTCCCTAGCAGATAGACATCAAAGGTACAGTACAGATTTCTTACATGCAAATCACAAAGTGGTGTTAAAATGCTTGTGCATCAGAGCCTTGGTTGGCTGAAGGTTTTGGGACACATTCAAAACATTCAGTTGAACACGGTTTTGGATGAGGGAGAGGTGACTGGTCATCTTTGTATAATCTTTGCTTTGAGCCTCAGAGCACAGTACAGAGATTACCAGCCTGCCCCAAAATGGCTTACCCACAGTGAAAAGTTTCCTACATCTGGCGTTCAGTGAAGGGAATGCTTCCTGGCTTCTGAGACTGGTCAGCTTTTAAAGGGCCTGGAGCTTTACCGTGTCTGTGGACATAACCAACGTTTGGCTAACCAGGATGCTTGGTGAACGGAATTTCAGTTAAATAGTATTGTATCATATTTTAATAATTTGACCCCCAAAAATGATATATTGACTAGGCCTCTGTGAATTTCAAGAGCATAAACTCTTCAACAAGGCATTAAATCCCAGAATTCATATTTGCTAATATCTGAGTCTGCTACAATGGGACTTTACAATTGACTTTTCTTCCTGTCAAAGTTTTTATGTATAGCTCCTTCTCCCTAAAGGGCTTATTAACAAGAGCTTGCTTTTTTATTGATGAGGCCATTAGAAAAATTATGGCTGTGATTAACTTGCAGCTTTCACTATTCACGTGGCTCAGAAATAAATGTATTAACATTGCTGCTGGTCCAATTTAGTCTCCACAAACACTGAACTGCTCTCATGTCACAACACACTTCCTAACTGCATTTGATTGCTTACTTCTTATGGTAAGAAGAACAAAGATTTTCCAAAGTGCTAACTCAAGTTATCCAGCCAAAAGTTTTAAATAGCGAGAGGGATTTTACTTCAGAAGAATCACCTTGATTTGATTTGCAATGAAACTGGGGTGGGGGTAGAGATGTGTGTGTGGGGGGCGTGTTCCTTAGCTATCAAAGGGATTTGTGCCAAACTGAAAATTCCAAACAAAGAATTAACCTTGGTTTAAAAAAATGGTTTTATTATGGAATCAGTCAGTTTTGCCACATTTTTGCAAATGATCTTAAAGAGAGTTGTGTGGCAAGCTCTCTGATAAAAGTTGTGTAAAAGACCATCCTCAAATGCATCTACAACATAAGATCAAATATGTGTGTCAGTTGATCCCACTAGACGCCTATAGAATTGTTTAACATCTGAGATAGTACTTAATATTATAGTTGCAATTGATAACTCATTTAGTTTGGACACAGTGAGACTGACTCTCCACTATCTCGAACCTTGTGTAGTCATTTGCACACATACAAAGTGAGTATAAAATGCTACCATTCCTATTTAGTAATGTTTCACAGACACTTGGCACTAACCAACTACAAAAAAAAAAAGCCAGGCTGTGGAGAGTAAGGCTTTTAAAAGCATTGGGTCTCATGCGGTGTAAATCAGTGTGGCTCCATTGAAATACATTGAGCTATGTTCATGTATGGCAACTGAGGATCAAGCCCATTGCATTTCAATGTAAACAAGCTTCAAAGGTCTCAAAACACAAAAGTAAAAAAAAATTGTGTGAGTTTTATACAGGTATCTAATTTTTCCTAGCTCTACAGTTGCCTCTTTTGGGTTGATGATGTATCAGAATCATGTCAGTCCAGTCACCCATTAGTAGAATGCAATTCAGTCTTAGGTCAGTAAGTCAGAATAGCATTGCATGGTAATTTCAGTTTGGAACAGCTGTTTACTTGTAAGAGGAATCTAGTTAAGATGTACTTAAAAAGAAAATAGCAAATTTCTTCGATTGTAGCTGTGTGTTTGATTAATTTATCTGAAATATGTACAGTATGCATATTTGGAGCAAATAGCTTCGTTTATGGACTGTTTACTGAGCAACATTGAGATAACTTTACTTCACTGTGAAATCCTTCAAGCAAATGCATAATGTAGTAGGATTAAATGTCAGGTTTCAGAGTAGCAGCTGTGTTAGTCTGTACCCGCAAAAAGAACAGGAGTACTTGTGGCACCTTAGAGACTAACAAATTTATTAGAGCATAAGTTTTCGTGGGCTACAGCCCACTTCTTCGGATGCATATAGAATGGAAGATATATTGGGGTGATATATATACACACATGCAGAGAGCATGAACAGGTGGGAGTTGTCTTACCAACTCTGAGAGGCCAATTAAGTAAGAGAAAAAAAACTTTTGAAGTGATAATCAAGATAGCCCAATACAGACAGTTTGATAAGAAGTGTGAGAATACTAGGATTAAATGTAGGCTTGTGTGGCATCAGCCATTCCCAAATGTAGCATTGGCCACCCAAATAGATATTAACAGATTTACTGTCCTTAGCTTTGCTGTCCAAAAGTATGTGATGGGATAACTTATTGGGACAGACTTATTTTTTAATAGAGGGCATTGGGAGGAAAGGCATGTCTGAGCAATTATTTAGCTTTGTCTTGGTCCTCAGCTAAGTGGCACTGATCTGAGTACTTTGTATTGTTTAGAGAAATGGAAGGGATTTTGAAGATTAAGGCATTCCAGTTATGTTAGGAACAGGGAAGGATGGCTTAGTTGTTTATGCTTCATGGGCAGATCCTCAACTGGTATAATACAGTTTAGCTCAATTGATTTTAGTGGAGCTACATCATTTTACACTATCTGAGAATCTGACTCCTGTTCTGAAACCCCAGGAGCTACTGATTCAAAACTTGCCATATTATGTTTAGCCCTTTCCTTTTCCAAGGTAGATACATGAGTACTGCACCAGGGAGTTTACCATCTTGAATGAGATCTCATATTCCATGCTTTCATTGGATACTTCAGAGATTCTTTGTATTTTTTATATGAGCAGCGTTTTACTGAAGCATTGTTGGCCTGCACCTCCACTTTTCCCATTGTTCTGCAGTGCACTAGTTGATAGCAGAGAATGTTGCATTATCGGAAAATGTTGTTATCTCAAGGAAATTATTTTCAAAAGAGAGATTAGAACTTTCAAAGGCATCTAGGAGTTATAAACTCCAGCCAAAGTTAAATTTCAGTTAGGTGAATAACGTAGATAAACTGTTTAGAAAACGGTTCTTTTTGAAAATCATCATAAGCTCCATAATGCTTTTTTTTTCCTAGCTGAAAAGATGTCTTTAACTCCCCTGTATGTGTTGGGGACTGGGAGAATATCTCAGTCACATTTTTATTCTGCTATAATCAGTTTGAGTAGATTTTGAACTTTTCACTCAAGTGTAACTCAAACAGGAAATTCAGAATTTCTGTTTCAAATGTTTAAAAATAGCAGCTATGTAATTGTATTGGCAGCTGATGCAGGTGGAGTGAAAGGGCTGGGCATTCCCAAGGGCATCATGTGCAAATCTGATAAAATAATTTGTTTTCTAGCTCTAAAATCTAGTTATTACAGAAATGGGTAGTTAGGTTATTGTCTTTAACCAACAAAAGAATTTAATTATATAATTCTCATTCTTGCATCCTTATGGCCATTTATTCAAGTGCCTTTTTATGTAATAACGAAGGATCCATGCTTGCAGCTATTTCTTTATGCATCTCCCGAGTTGTGTCCCTGACATCTCAGAAAGATATGAAACATAGAGTCCTCCAGTAAAGTATTATATAATCATACCACATTAATTCAAATATTTCCTTTCTACATATTGATTCCAAAACCAGGCACACTAAAAAAAAATTGCATTCAAAAGATATAAATCCAGGTAATAAACTGCATCTTAAAACTTCAGGTCCCTTCTAAGGCACAACAAAACAAATTTTGAGCTATCCAAAAAAGTGTAATGCCAGTATGAGTGAGTGAAAAATCTCCACTTGACATAGAAGGAATCATATTTGATTACATCATAGGGATCTGTGAAACAGTAACCCTCTATTTCAACTGCCTGGGGCTAAATCCAGCTCACTTTATTCATGCAGAATTCCATGTACTTCAGGGGGAGTTTTGCTTGAATAATATAAACTGGATTCATCTCTGGATTTTTTTCACAGGGTCTTTTCTTTCCACATTTTGATCATAAATTGCCTTTTAATGAATTTTTCCAATGTGCTCAGTTTTGAAACAGCAGGTACTATTAAAATAAGTAGAAGTATAATATATGAATGCAGAGAATAGAGCAGGAATCCACAAATATAGAATTAAGTGTATTTGTTAAACAACACAGGCTTGATACACTGTTTAAGATGACATTAATTCCATCATTACATAATAATAAAAAGCATCTGAAAGGGATTTTACTGCAGTAACATTCTAGTGAGCTGGTAAAATATACAAGCAATCAGGAGAAAAATAACTGGTTAAGCAGTTAAATTAACATTTCATTATTTTTAATTGAGTGGAATAGCACTACACTATGTGCAGTACTTTATGGAATTTCAATAAAGACAAATCAACTGTAACTAATTTGAATGCTTTATTAAGGCACATTTCAACCTTCCAGTGTGAATTATTGCAGTTAATTAAGTGTATTACTGTCCCATATAGCTTTGCAAATTGAGCCACTTTGGTATGTTGAAGATCAGTGGAGTATTAATAAAATAATTGTTCCCCATTTAGTATCTCCATGGACATATAAATGTATGTGTAACACCCTGTAGTTCCACTTTCTGTCTCTGAACATTCCTAGTTCTTTGTGGCTGAGCCTTAGAATATCAGAGTAAACCTAATATGCTTTTAATATTTTATCTCTGCTTTTGAATATTGTGTGTATTTAGCAAGTTATGAAATGTACTAGATTGAGCATCCTAGACACCTACTGCCTTTTGCTACAGAACTGCACCAACTTTCTCATGATGCCCCACGAATGTGCCTCAACCCTACCCTGAGATTACCACCTCTATGGTGACAGGGAAATTCAGTTTCAATGCCTATTTAGTCCCTGGCTTTCAGGGATGCCAGTTGATCTGGATTGAGAGTGCTGAACTAATTTCACATGTGCCATTTCAGCATCATGAGATGGTCTGAAGCTGCAAAACATGAATCTGAATTTTAAATATCACAGATTGGGCCAGGGGGCAGTTTAGGGGATTTTAGATTAGTTCATTGTAAAAATAGGGACTGTTTACAGAATTAAGATCCAGAGTCACCAAAAATTCTGAAGATTTGATTTGGGTCTGTCTCTGCTTCTGACCTGCTTATTTTGAGCTCAGTTGCCAATTTATTGATCCAGCTAGTCTCACATCCTTTCTCCAATGTAAAGTATTTTGAATTTAAATGATAGGTAGATTAGATATGTTTATGATGGAAGGAGGACTGCCTGGGTCCAGTCCAGGCCTCAGTGGGGTTTTTGTCATTGACTTTATTGGAGCCAGGATTTCACCTTACATTTCTTCACTCCCAGTCATGATCCCTACTCTCTAAGATGTGTTGCCTCCCTACATCCTCACAAACACACTGATCATTCCTCTTCCCTCCAGCCTCACTCTTCCCTGCCCTAACTCCCAATTCCCAGCTCTAAACAAGAGCACTTGACGAAGGCCAGCAAGAGCCGTAACGTTTCTTTCCCTTTTTTTCTAATGAATGAGTACACAGTCTCGAAGTCCTTATGTGGGCAAAGCACCCATAGATTTTTAAAGGATAGTTGCCTAAGCTAGTAACATAAGTTAAGGCCCTGAAAATTTTTATTTTAGTAAATAAAGACTTTTTAGCCCTTCCTTTTAGTCAAGTTGGCTTTGGTATACCTGGTGTCTTTTCAGAGATCTTTTTAATAAATAGCCCAGTATAGGGAAACACACCAATATCTGATGAATATTTTAAAATAAGAACTGTTGGAAAAAAACATTTTATTTCCCCAGGGAACATCCTAGATGGGGAGCTTCCAACACTGCTCTGGCTAGATGGCTCCCTCCAGCTTATGAAGATGGAATCAGTCAGCCCAAAGGATGGAATCCCAACTTCTTCTTTAATGGATCTCAACTGCCATTGGTTAGAACACCCTGGAATCATTTGAAACACTTGCATTGGGCTACATGCATGCCTGGGACTGTAAAATATCTTTTAAATCAGTGAAGTTAAACTGCAGATGAATATGGTTCATTAGCACTTATGTCGACGAAACTTTTCTGAAAAAAACACCCCCCTAAGTGACATAAGATTTGCCGGCATAAGCGCTCGTGTGCACAGCGCTATGTTGGTGGGAGACACTCTTCCGCCAACATAGCTACCGCTCTCTCCTATCAACATAACATGGCTATATGAACAATCTTACGGCTGTGACACTGTAAGCTTGTAAGTGTAGACATGGCCTAAATTTTAGAATGGTGTGTTTTAATTAAGCATATATTCAGGAGTCCAACTACTGAGTCCTCTCTTTTTACTCAAACCTTACTTACATGACTTCAGTTGGAGTTTCTTTGAGTAAGGCTTTGGGCCATTATTAGATATTTAATTAGTACCTGAAGTCTAGGCATGGATTTGATATTTAAGAAAGAAGGCAAAGTCTTGGCAATTAAAACTTTAATACATATTCCAATAACTGCATCACAGTAGTGCATTCAGCATTTTATATCACCAGCACTTTGTCTGAAAATAGATTGGTAATGGTCTAGATTGAATAACTACTGAATTGAAATTTGCTCTGAGGTACTGCCAAACCAGATTTTCATGCAGTGCTTGTTTTATAAGAGTCTGTACTTGAGAACTGTGGAGAGAGTTGGGCCTATAAAGTGGCCAGTGGAGAATCCTACTCTATGTATATTTACAATTGTGTGGTCTTTTTAACGAACTTGGCTGAGGTAAACAGAGAGCCATTTACTCTGCAGCTGTGATAGTAACCTTTGAAAAAGAAATCATTAGTTCACTATAAGGAGAATATTACATGCACAGTAGTTACATAAGGCAGCTTCTGGGTGACAACATAAATGGGAAATGTACTGCAGGTAAATATATTGTTCCTTTATATACAGCAATACAATTTCTTTGCACATTAAGATAACACAATTGCACAAATATTACCAATATACCGTAATTTCATCTATTATGTAATTCAAACTACTAATGTAAGGAACCACTGCGATATTACTTGATGGATTTTGGCACAGCAAATTGTTATAATACAGAAGAGATGGCAATAGTGAAAGGTCTGAACCAAAACATTTATATCTGAAACTGGATGCAAACTTCCCTATGTTCAGTGGAGAGGGTTGGATTTGGTGTGTCTGGTTCAGGCTCATCTCAAATTGTCAGATTTACCCTTACTGCACTGACTCAGAAACCACAGTCTTTTGTTGTATTCACAGTCTTGTCATTTTACCCTTCACATATTTAATAATGATGGGAGACAGATTTTAGTGTTCATGTCACTTTCAAGTCCTTTTACAAATTAAATGACATCATAACTTTAAGCAGTACAGTGTGGGGTTTATAGATGAAAAACTGACATTTGAATGAGAAATTTTACAGTGGATGTTATCAATTACACATATTTCCAGGTTCATTAAGTCTTGTGCTAATGGGGTGAAACGCATTAAAACAAAGCTTGTACTATTGCATGGAATCTGACATACATTCAGCATAACACCAACAAGCTTCCCTCCCCCTTATATTTAGCTACACTTTAAAATACCATACAATATACGAATATGAAATTAGTGCCATGTAAAAAAATATAGATTTTCTATGCTGTTTTTTTGCAGATTTCAGTAATTTGTGTTCTTTTATTTATTATAAGTTACTCTTTAATAGCAGAACATGCAGAGTCAAGGTAAAGGATAAATATTAGAATTATCATAAGACAGAATATTAGAAGACAGTGTAGCTCAAGGCCATCTCCATGGTCATTTACAATGCAGAGTTACAGTGATATGAAAACCTTTGTCAGTAAATTACAGTGAACCACAGATGGCCTCTGTGCTCCTGTGAGTAAGTTACTCCCATTTGGGAGACTGGAAATGCCTCCAATGTGCACTTTCAATGAATTCTCCCCCATTCCTGTGTTGTGGGGTAGAGTTTCCCACCAACTTGCAATCCTGCAAAACAGCTGGGGTTTTGGGCCACAGACCCCCCGCCATCTGCACAGAGGGTGTGTGCCACTGTACTGTCTCCCAGCCTACTATTTCTGTGCAGTTCTCTCAGCAGTATGACACAGCAGGCTGCTGTCCATGAGAGGATCTTTCACAGCCCCAAAGAGAAATCTGTGAAAGATAATGTTGGCTCAGTCAGTATTAACTTGTGTTGGTTTGCCCTGATGGTTTTGGTTGGGTGAGGAGGCAACTATGCCATGTTGAGTAAGCATCCCCTCAAGTAAATCTCTCAGAAGGGCTTCTGCAGAGTTGAGATAAGGAGCATGTTGAGGAGCTGGCTATCCCCAACAGCCAGATTCACTGGGTCTTGACTTCCTTCTGCCTGGGAATATTGAGTGGAACATTTGGGTCTCTGTTTGGTACCTAAAATGCTGTGCATGTGAATAGCTTGTATGGCATGGAGCAGTGTGAAGCCCCAGTAACTCCACTAATTGGAGGCTGCCCTGCTAACACTGCACCTTTGTTAAAGGACTAGAAAACAGAACAAATAGAATGAAAACTTTTTAGACATTGTAAAAGAAAACATGTGAGATTCAAAAGACTCAGAAAAGAAACTGATCAGAGATGTGCTACTTTTTGGTAACTACACAGAAAAACTCAGCTGAAATATCTTTGAACCTGCTTTGTGGTACTGACATCTCAACTTTTGAACAAGAATATCATACTGTCAGTGTCTTTTTAAAACAAGCCATTAGAAGTACTCCACAACATAAAATATCCTGGCAAAAGTGATAGCTTTTATCACTACTTCCTCTGCCTTTTTAGTGTTTTATCCGTATGTGAAAGGTAAATAATATTTGGCATACCAGATAAATTAGCTCTTTCTTTCCTAGGTTCGTGAAGTGACAAGAAAAATTATTCATGCATCTAATGAGGCTGTTACGGAAGACAATCTATATTCTGATATCATTATGGTGTGGGGACAATACATAAGTCATGACATTTCATTCACACCTCAGAGCACAAACAGAGCTGCCTTTCTAAGAGGAGTAGAATGCAAGATGCCATGTGAAAACCAAAAATCATGTTTTCCAATAAAGGTATGATTTAAAATCCATTTGTTCAAGAGAAGCACTAGTTGGCAAACAGGTAAAGTAGATTGTGAGAGAATGGTCAAGGGATTTGACAGATCATTCAGAAATAACAAAGCAAAAAATAATAGAATATTTGCAATCCGACATCATTAATTAATGATGCAGGAAGGCAGATATATAAAAAGATATATAGAGAGATAATCCTATAATCATCTCCACATATAGGTAGATAAAAGTAGGATATCAAAGATATTTAGTACAAATATAATGATTTTTAGCTGTGGGGTTTATGTAGTAGAGAATTCATCTTATCAGGCAAGAAAAAATGTTGTTACTATTTTCAAGTATCAAGGTTTTGAATTCCAGTGAGGAAAGTAGGAAAATAGTCATAAATAATTCTCTTTTTAAACTGTTACTCAGCTAAAGTGCAGTAATTTTACCCTGGGAAGGCAAGGATATTTCCATCAGCTAATACAAACTTTTGAAAGGAGGCGTGTTCTAACTATGTGGCTAAAATGATCTTCAGAGTTTTGCAGAAACTTACATACATGGGGGTCATTGCTTTTGAGAAGATGGAAAAAGTTGGACTTCAGGAGCTAGTTATTTCCTAGTAGGAAAAGAAATGAGCTGGCATAGATACACGATTCTGTACCATGCCTGATGAATTTATAAGTAAGATAATTCTTTCATGCAGATGATAGGTAGCAAACTCGAAATACAGCTTGAAACTCACTAATGTACTGTCATGGAGCCTTACAATTCTACATGCTGTCCCGCAAGGATGTTCCCACTCCCACCCACCCCATGTTATGAATAACACTGAGTTGTCCACACACACACACCAGAGCTTCAGTAAAGAATTTCATGTTCCAACCCTAAAACCGGACTTCAATCCTGTGACTGCTTCTACTCTGAAGGCACTGCTTCCACTCCTGTACAGAGCTTCCTTGTGATAAATTATGGATTCCCCCAAGACACAAGACTTGGTTATCTATTGCCCTGCACCTTGTGCAGTTTTTGATGCTATTGCAAAGTAGCCCACTTTGCATTCATCTATCACTTGCATAAATGACTACATGGTGCAGGGCAATGGATGATCAGATCCATAGCCTTCTGAGTAGCAAGTGAGGCTGTTGGGGAGATCATGGAGGGAGTTTTAGACTGTTTAGATGTTGAAAATAAGTTTTAGATTAATATCCTAACTTTTGGATTCTTTTCTTGTCTAAGCTAATGTCATCTGAGCCTTTAAATCTGTTGAGTTTTGCCCACCTCTATTCTTCATTGTTTTTTTGATTAATCCAAACCAATGACAGTGACATTTATTGTAACGATATCTGGAAGCAGTTTGAATATTTTACTCATTCTATTGATGTGCTTCTTGTCTGGCAGTTCCTTTCCATTAGCATGAGGTAGATACAGTAGAACAGCAATCATCTTGAGCAGAGTCTCCCATCCACCCCCGATTTTCTTTTTTTAATTTCTCAGGTAAGAGGCTCCTAAGAGATGTGTCCTTATCATCTTGAATCTGTTTCTTCTTGTTAATTGTACTCCTCAGCATTACTTGACATTTTCACCTGCCAAGACATATCAAACATGCCATGACACGTCTCCTGGGAAGTTAGAAAAATGTGCATTTTGAAAATTTCAAATGAAGATGGTTCATTTTTCTAATGGACCCTGTTATGTGCAGAGTGTTTATAACCTGAGTTTTACTTTCTTACAAAGTTTTAAAGACTTTGAGGGCAGTAGCTGACATTTCCTTAGAACAAAAAGGCACATTAATTAAGCAATTTTGAAGCTCTCCTTTTATAACATGTAAGTACATCCATATCCATTAGATTTCTCGGATTTAATACCAGTTTAAGCAGTGCAGATGAAGATGGATGTACTTCTACTTCTGAGTTATATGCCAAGTACTTTCCATGCACTTTTGTCCAGGCAATAGGAAACATTACACAAAGCAGTTCTTTACTGTGACCAGATGAAGCATTTTTCTAACTTTGAAAAAGGAGCTTATAAAATTTCCCTCAAGAATCAGCTTTCTCCTGAAAGCTAAACTAGTTTTTTTTCCATTTTGAAAAGAAAAAGAAAAAGAAAAAAAAAAACCCACGTAACAAACTGTCACATTCTGAGGTACAGTCCAGACCAGTGATGGGTTGTGTCACTGTTTGTCCATAACCTTGGGAGCCTCACAATGCTTTGCTGTTATAACTCCCAACCAGCCTACCAGGATACCCTCAGTGTCTGTGTACTAGACATTCCTGGTTCAGAAGCTCTTACCCCAGCAGCCTGTCTACAGCCTGACCCCAGCAGCCTTTGTTACTTTGGGCAGGGTGAGCCCAACACAATCCCAATTCCAAATTTTCCCAAAACGATGTGCTATGTCCAGCCCTCTCCTGGAAAGTAGAGAGAAATAATATGGGTTTTTTTTTTGTTCCTTTAAAGACACAAAAGCACATCACAGCTTATTTACTTAACTAAGGGTAAATATAACCTTCCCATTAAATAGAGCACTGAGTTGGTTTATGGTAAAATTGAATACATTTATTAACGAAATATAAATAGGATTAAGTGAGTTCAAGCTTAAGGAATGAAGATAGAAAAGGTTACAAGTAAAACAAAACAAAATACGGTTCTAAAGGTCTAAACATTAATCTAGCAAGATACAGGCTTTGTTCAAGATGTTTTTCTCACCCGTCATTCTTCTTTCCAGCATTGGCTGACTTCCCCTCAGTCAGCACTTTTCACAAAAGTACAAGGTTCTGGCTTCCCTTGCCTTCCTAGGTGAAATAGTTTTGCCTAAGCAGGGTTTTCACCCCCTTGATTGAAGGACCATCTTTCTCAGCTTGCAAGGGCTCAGTTCCCTAGTGATAGATGTCAAAGACAGGGCCGGCTGCTTCGGGCAGCAAAAAACCTAGAGCCGGCCCTGGTCAAAGATGGGTTTTGTCCTCACTTCTATCTTCCATAGTTCAATTAACTTGTTTCAGGAGGCAGGATGACCTCATGCTGTTCCTCTCTTCCTGTGGGTTGGCCCCCACCCCGTAAGTTTTTTATGGAAATGGGGCTTCCGTTGTTTCTGATTCCATAATACTTAATTAGAGACAGGTAAGTAGTTGTGACATTTGCTCCTGTCTGAGCAGACTGTACAACCTAATATCAATGAGTATCTGTAATTCCTTACATAGTGCTAATACATACAGTTCACAATTATATTTATCACCAGTGTTTCTTTAGCTTTCACTAAAGACCTTATTCGATATGCTTTTATACTACAGTAATATTGTATACAATCAGTTGATTCAATTTCATATCACTTGAGGTTCAACCTCCCCATCTTTATAAGCCAGTAAACCTTTGCAATTAATTCTTCTGAAAAGTAAAACCCAGACCAAACTTCTCTCTCCTGCTGGGTGCAGATTTCATGTTGTCCTCTCTCCCACCTGCTAGCATTATGTTTGCTTCTATCCCCCATCAGCCCGATGGGTCTGTTTACTGCCTATACATGAACTGAGGTAAACACACATTCTTATGTTTAGAATAGACCTGTTAAATAACTCTTCCTTATATACCTGGTTCAAACATATTTTAGTTAGTTTTAATTCCAGAATATATCCATAACTCATAACTCATTGTGTACATATATCATACAAGAATATTAATGATCAGTAAGTTATTAGTTTTCAAGTGATATCTCAAAACGCATATTTTGTAATGTAAGTACAGAATTCATAAATGTTAAGGCCAAAAAGAACCATTACGGTCATCTAGTATGACCTCTTGCATAACTCAGGCCACAGAATTTCATTTGATTCCTGCATCAAGCCCATAACTTCTGGTTGAGTTAGTTCATATCTTTCAGAAAGATGTAAAGGGATCACTTCATCCAGTACTGGGATGGGATACCACAGCTGTTTTAACAGAGCACTATAACTCTTTGGGACAGGAAGAGGTGGGAAATATTGTATCCAGAAACACAGGCTATGCAAAGAAATCTCTCTGAGATGTAATTAAATGGAGAAACCTGGCTATAAAAAACAGGAGTTTTCCTTTGTATCTTTCTCAGTAGAGATGTGCCAGAGTTGTTTAGATTTTTTCTGAGCCCAGCAGCCTTGTGTACAGTTGCTATCTGTGCCTGTGGTATCCACTAAATGAACTGCAGTAGTCAGAACTATTCATCCTAAACCAGTCTAATTGAAATATATTCAGCCTTTTGTTTTAGAAAGGTACGTATTAAAGAGGTTGCAGTCTTAATTTTCTAAGACCTACCTGGGCTTTCTGTCTCTCGTTTTTTTTAAATTAATCTCTCCTGATTTGAGGGTTAGGTATAGGGAATCTCTTTCAAACCACTAGAATGTTTCAAAACAGAAGAAACCTATTCAGTATGACCACTACAACCCCGACTGATTCCTGCATGGAGCCCTTTCAACAATAAATGACAAAAATCACCAGCATAATTTATATCTTTAAAACAGCATCGGCTGTAAAATAGACCCATAATTAAATGGATGGGGAGATTGAGATGCTTTTTCACCCTCAATGGTCACTTCAGGTCAGAGTCAAGGCACAATGAAGCATTATTAGGGCTTCCATAGTGTACTCGTTCTGTCCTGGTTTATTATTTATTGTATTACAGTAGTTTCTAGAGACCCCAACTGATATCCCCAATGTCCCATTATGCTAGACACTGTACAGAGATATAATAAGAGATAGTTCTGAAAAACTTACAATCTAAATAGACAAGATACAAAAGGTGAGAAAGGAAATTGAGGCACAGAGAGTTGAGATAACTTGCCCAAGGTCACCTAGCAAGCTAGTATCAGAGCCAGAAATAGAATTTAAGTCTGTCTTCTGAGCCCTGGACTACCCTGCCTCTCAGAATCTCCTGTACATAAACAGAGAATTTGAGTTATCCTTGCTATCAATATAGAAAACTTCCACAAACCCTGAATTCCTTTTAAAAAAACTGCAACAAACACTTCTCTTCGTGTGGTCACTTTCCGCAGAACCAATTCACTATAGGAGTTAGACAATGCAGTGCATTGAAACAATTCATGGCTTTCATTCTGCTACACTTCACAATCAGCATGTTCTTTTCTGCATTTATAATATAATTTTAAGTTTATGTGCAGCTGACCCAGGAAAGCTACCATAGCCAGGCTGGGTGGGGTTTTTTTATTTTTTGTTTTGCTTTGTTTTGTTTTTTACCTCCTTAATTATTCTTTGCAAAGAAATGGATTGATAGGAATATTCTTCACTGATTTTAGAGAGAAATGCCATTTTATATTCATTTCAATAAAAAACTATTTTTTTCCCGGTCATGTTTGATATCATTTGAAAAAATAACATAAGAAACCTTCATTTGCACATTGAGCTGCTGGCTGCACACTACTTAGCCCATGAAAAAGAAAAGGACTCATTATGCAGTTCTGCCAGTCCCTTAATGTTCATTACTGCTGCTTTCCTCCACTGGAGCACAGAATGATCTGAATTAAAATTGCAGAGGCAGTTAACCAAAGAATATTCACTGTGAACTTCACAGACTCTTGGTCTGTTTTGTTGTGGTCCTCTCTGTTTACTAAGTTAAAGGCCAAACATACATTTCTTTCAATTATAGCCAAACTCTTCCAATCCTTTCCTGATAACTAGAAGCAAGAGGTGGTCAAATGCAGACAGCGCTCTGTAGCTGTCAGTCTCAGAAGAAACTGTATTTGGAATAGAAACCAAGCCCTTTGCCCACCCTACCAACTTCAGGGAAGCAGAGACCACCATAGCAGCAAGAGACTTAATAATGGGGACAAACTCTAGACTAGAAACCCAAGGGAAAATAAATAATTGATTTTAACAACTGAAGGAACAAACAGCAAAATAAACAAAATATATGTTTACTCACAAAATATAATAACCTACCATTGAAATTATCCTACTTAGCTAATGGGGAAAGAAGTGAGAGGATTTCTTAAGCAGGCAGGTTTTAATAGGCTTAGAAAATAAACACGTATTGTTTTAACATGATGATAGCACTCCCTACAGTGATGAGCTTTCAGTAGTTAGAAAAATCTATTTAACAAATGAGATAAAAATACCAGCACCATGTAAAGCTGTTAAGCTCCGTTCCACAGTTCCCGTTAGCCTTTTTTCACCCCTCTTAAATCAGATTTTATTTCCATAACCCCCAAAGAGACTTCTAGCTTCTATGATCTCCCTCCAGCCCCTCCACACCTCTTTGATCTTTTCACAGGATATTCCAGCTGTCTCAAATTTGTGCACATGTCAACACTGGTTTTGGAGCCTGCTGAACTAACTTGTTTAAATAACAAAAGTCTAAGCAAAACAATGTAGAAATTTGAAAGGTAATTATATCACCTTGTAGGATGTCTGCAACATTAATATGTCTATCCGTGCTTCTTTGCTGCTATAGTATTTGTTTGAAAATTTAACAGCAAACAAATAGGATGAAAAGAAAAAGCGGATTAGGTCAGGTGTCTCTTCAAAGCGGATGTGTTTTACTTTATCAAACGTCTGCAGATGGTTACCCTCTGGGGGATATTTCAGCAGCTTCAGTAAGTGGTACCTGTACTTTCTTACCAATGGTAAAAGATCAATGGGTAAGAAAGTATAGATTTTCCCAAAAGTTCATAATTGCGTATTCTTTGAAACTCAAAATCATGTTTTTAACAGCAGTTTTCATTGGAGGTGTGTATTTTTAAACTCCGGGGCTTGACACATCCTTTTTATGGCTCACTATGTCTAATTACACTGTGCGTGGTGATCTGTTAGACTCTGGAAATGATGGGAGTTTCAAAAAAACTGCAGTTCATAAAAGCAACTCTGTATTAAACAGGGCAGATAGACTTCAGACATTCTGAAACATGATTGTTTTTATTTTAGTGATTAATTTTATTTTCTTAAACAGAATAGCTGACTCAGAATTTCTTCTAAAATGTAAAGAAATCCTGTCCTCCTCTGCCTGTTGATTAAGAAGTTCAGGGGAGAGGCCTCCATGGTGCACACCTGCTAATCAATTCACAAAATGTCCAGTTAGGGCATAATCCCAAACTCATTGAAGTAAAGGGGATGTTGATGTCATTTGACATCACAGCTTCTCCATATATTTCATTGATTTCAATGGGCTTTGGATCAGGCCCTAACTGAGGCGAAGTCTCCCTGGTCCACGTGCACTGTACAAAGACGAGCTCTCTGAAGCAAGAGCTTTTGCACAGTCCTGCTCCGGACTATGGGCACCTTCACTACATCTGAGTGTAGGCAGCTAGGTTAGCTGCACATGCGCAAGCAGCATGGCTTTCTGAATTGAGAAAACTCATGCAAAATCTGTTATAGCACGCAACGTTCAATGATTCATAACTTGATCATGTCAAAAACAATTTTTACCAGAACTCACAGGCAATTCTCTTCAGTGAGACCTGTTTGATGATGAATTTCATGGGTTTAATTCAGTCATAGAATTGTTCAGAAAACATAGCAGTAAATTGTTTTTTTAATGGAGAAAGTATATTTTTTTCACTCTGCCTGTTCTCAAAAATGGCTAGACCATTTTTGCTCAAACTTCAAAAACATATGTACACAAATAAAGAACACAGAGACAACCCTAGAAAACTTTAGTCCAGAAAAAAGGTGTTTCAAAAAGATATGAACAACTGAAATTTAGGGTTTAGAATGGAAACCTTTATGGAACCCTTAGTGCAGTAGTCACTTCCAGTCCAGCTATGTTATTTTCACTGCAGAAATTGTCTATTTTATTACACAGGTATTTGCCAATGATACGCTATCGACAGGAAGAGAGTGCATGCCTTTTTATCGTTCATCTCCTGCATGTGGCACTGGTGATCATAGCATTCTCTTTGGAAATCTATCAACATTAAAGCCAAGAGAACAGATCAATGGTTTAACCTCTTTCCTTGATGCTTCCACTGTCTATGGCAGCACACCTGCTGTGGAAAACAAACTAAGGAATTTTACAAGCAAAGAAGGCCTCCTTAGAACAAATGTGCGATATTATGAGAATGATCGGGAATACCTGCCTTTTGTAGACCAGGTCCCATCTCCCTGTGCACAAGACCCTAACTCAGATGAAGCTGAAAGGATCGAATGCTTTATGGCTGGGGACAGCAGGTCTAGTGAAGTAATCTCATTGACAGCTATGCACACCTTGTGGCTGCGAGAACACAACCGCCTGGCTAAAGCACTGAAAAAACTGAACAGACATTGGAGCTCGGAAACAGTTTACCAAGAAGCTCGCAAAATTGTTGGTGCTCTACATCAGGTTGGCTGACTAGTTAATTGTCAATTTATTGCTATGGCTTTGCTATGATTTAATTAGGCACAAAACTGAAAATGTGTTTTCATGAGCTGAATAGCTTTTTGAGGGTCATGTTACCTTCCTTGCTGTCTCTATTTTCAACTTCAGATTTTTGGTGTCAGATTTTCATTCTTTTCTCAGACGTCTTGATATTTAGATTCCTTTGTTTGTTCAGATGCCACGCCTCTCTGCTGTCATTTTTTCTGGCATCTTTTTCTGCCCTTTCTAGCTGCATTTCCTCTTTCCTCAGACTTTTCCTTCTATTTATTCTACTGAGGTCTCTTCGCTCTTTCTGGCTCTCTCTTCTTTATAGTAATTTTGGGAAAGGAAGCAAGTAAAAAGTAGGTAAGTCTCCCACAGTGCACAAAAGTTTGTCTTTCTAATGCAAAATCTATAAACAAATATTCTCCTTCCATAAAAAGAGTATAAGCTTCACACTACCAAACTAATGCATAAACCCCTAGGGAAGGGCATAGACTTTGAGCCCTAAAACTTGGGAAGGAGAAATCAATATGGAAAATAACAAAGCAGACAGGAAAGTAGAGATACAGAGTTTCATATTAAATCAATAAGTAGAAGTCTTCATAATTAAACTGAAATTCTAAGATCCACCAGGGTTTCACTTTCAAGCATAATAATCTTCTACATTAAGATACTCTTATGAGATATTTTGTTTTCATTTTACTTTCAAATATAATGTCTCTCCCAACCATTCCATTGTGATTTGAAAAATCTATCCTTAGATTACAGAGTGTATTTATTGATTCACAAACAAGTAGAGCAAATATTGCATCCAGGTATCCAAATCAAGTAAAAACTCTTTATGTTACCAATGCACTCTAGACTATGAATTTGGACATGAACATTATATTTAGGTCATAAAACTAACTTTTCTTTAGCAGTTTTCCAGTGAGGAAAATGGTTATTTCTCCTTGTTCACACTGATCCAGTCTCTATGTTATAATCCATAGCACTGGATCTGAAATATCAGGTTTGGAACACTTTGGAAACAACAGGCTTGTCACACAGTCTCTAATTGCTAGCAGCTGAAATATTTGTGACACCAGATTGTGGATTTTTCTGAAGAGTAATAGGGAGAAAAACAGACTTTAATGATCATGAAAAAATATTGCTTTCCTTCCACCTGAACTCTCTGTTTGCAGTAAACATGGAATGAGTCCTTCAGGAAACCATGTGCATTTGATGTGAGACTACTGGTTGCACGAAGAAAGAATACACATAGAAAAATAACTCTTTTTATTTGGAATCAGTATGTAATCTGTCTATTTTAGATAGTCAGGCCATTAGCCTCTCTTCCAGCTCTCCCAAGTCAATTCCTCTCTCTTAAGTGTATTTTTTGTTCTAAAATCATTGTGTGAACAAGCTCAGACTGGTTCTTGGTACTAGTTAGAAGAAAAGAGCAAATCAGAAATCCCAAAACTAGGCTTCTGTGCACGCTGATGTTAGTGGGTAGGAATATGAAACATCATGCCCTTAAACAAAATAGTTTGCACAAGGCATTATTCTTTATGACTCTGGGCTACTTATTATCTCTACCAGTATCACAAACTAATGAGATCAGCCTGTGGCATATGAGTAATATTTTTGAGCTGACCTATCCTATTTAAGGACACTCATTCAGTGGATGTAATTGTAGTAGCTTTATTAGAGTGTTATAATAACTAGAGCACAGGCAAAAGCTATGGTTGGAGTTGTCTAAAACTTCCATTCCAGGATTCTATATTCAGTTGCTCTAACTTTCTAAGATTTTCATCTTTTTGGCTGAATATGTCCAGGTCTAGTCTCACCCTGAGGGTGCATATTTATGGAGAGCTTGAACAAAACCAGTTCATCCTTTTTTAAAAAGGAATACGATTTTTTTAAAGCACTATTTCCATTAGATTTTTTTTTCAATGTTACTTTTTAAACAGCTCTACTGACAAGCAAACAGAAGTCGAAATTTGACATTAATACAGCCCTTGGAAGAGACTCGTGCCTTTCAAGGTTCTGGGGGTTTGATTTGGTTTAGTTATGGAGATTGGGAAAGCATGTTTCACACAAGTGGAGTAATTTGTTTAAACCATAGCAATACTTTAACTCTTTCATAATATTCTAAATGATGAGGACTGTGCTGTGAAAACATGCACAGTTAATTCCATGTTGAAGTAAAATGTATTGGGCCCTGGATGATTCAGTGTTCAACCAAGTTCATGCTCAATGATGGAGGCAAGACAGAATAATTTCAATGTTGTGACACATGCCAAGATTTCTTTTGGGAGTGTTTAGAAAACATGTCTTTTTTTTTTCTGCACTTGCTCACAAACATCAGTGTAACTCTCCTGACTTGAGTGAGGTTACTTCTCGTTTGTCCTGGTGCAAAAATGAGAGGAGAATCAGGACTACTGTCTAGGGAAACCATGAAAGTACAATTTTTTGTTCCTTTAAAGTAATTAAAATTCTAGGAAATTTCATATAGTAAAAAAAAAAAAAATGAAGAGACTGTTAAGCTTGCAAAGTTAAGTACTCAAATGCCAGACAGGAGAGATTCCAGAAGATTGGAAAGGGCAAATATAGTGCCCATCTATAAAAAGGGAAATAAAAACAACCCAGGAAACTACAGACCAGTTAGTTTAACTTCTGTGCCAGGGAAGATAATGGAGCAAGTAATTAAGGAAATCATCTGCAAACACTTGGAAGGTGGTAAGGTGATAGGGAATAGCCAGCATGGATTTGTAAAGAGCAAATCGTTTCAAACCAATCTGATAGCTTTCTTTGATAGGATAACGAGTCTTGTGGATAAGGGAGAAGCTGTGGATGTGGTATACCTAGACTTTAGTAAGGCATTTGATACGGTCTCGCTTGATATTCTTATCGATAAACTAGGCAAATACAACTTAGATGGGGCTACTATAAGGTGGGTGCATAACTGGCTGGATAACAGTACTCAGAGAGTTGTTATTAATAGTTCCCAATCCTGCTGGAAAGGCATAACAAGTGTGGTTCCGCAGGGGTCTGTTTTGGGACCGGCTCTGTTCAATATCTTCATTAACGACTTAGATATTGGCATAGAAAGTACGCTTATTAAGTTTGCAGATGATACCAAACTGGGAGGGATTGCAACTGCTTTGGAGGACAGGGTCATAATTCAAAATGATCTGGACAAATTGGAGAAATAGTCTGAGGTAAACAGGATGAAGTTTAACAAAGACAAATGCAAAGTGCTCCACTTAGGAAGGAAAAATCAGTTTCACACATACAGAATGGGAAGAGACTGTCTAGGAAGGAGTATGGCAGAAAGGGATCTAGGGGTTATAGTAGACCACAAGCTAAATATGAGTCAACAGTGTGATGCTGTTGCAAAAAAAGCAAACGTGATTCTGGGATGTATTAACAGGTGTGTTGTGAGCAAGACACAAGAAGTCATTCTTCCGCTCTACTCTACGCTGGTTAGGCCTCAACTGGAGTATTGTGTCCAGTTCTGGGCACCGCATTTCAAGAAATATGTGGAGAAATTGGAGAGGGTCCAGAGAAGAGCAACAAGAATGATTAAAGGTCTTGAGAACATGACCTATGAAGGAAGGCTGAAAGAATTGGGTTTGTTTAGTTTGGAAAAGAGAAGACTGAGAGGGGACATGATAGCAGTTTTCAGGTATCTAAAAGAGTGTCATAAGGAGGAGGGAGAAAACTTGTTCACCTTAGTCTCTAAGGATAGAACAAGAAGCAATGGGCTTAAACTGCAGCAAGGGAGGTTTAGGTTGGACATTAGGAAAAAGTTCCTAACTGTCAGGGTGGTTAAACACTAGAATAAATTGCCTAAGGAGGTTGTGGAATCTCCATCTCTGGAGATATTTAAGAGTAGGTTAGATAAATGTCTTTCAGGGATGGGCTAGACAGTATTTGGTCCTGCCATGAGGGCAGGGGACTGGACTCGATGACCTCTCGAGGTCCCTTCCAGTCCTAGAATCTATGAATCTATGAATGCTAGTAGCAACCTTAACTCTGCTCTGATATATCATATTATTTTTAAACTAAGGATTTAACTTAATGAATTTAGGTCACACACAGGAATAAAAACATATTTTTACATTTCGGTTACTAGATAGCAACTCTAACGTGATTCCGGCTTTCTCTGCAGTTTAAAAATAAATAACTCCCTTCCTCATTCATATAGATGTAAAGCATTTCTTGAAGCCAGTGCCGAGGCTGTACTACAGGTCAAAAGAACCTTCCTCTCAACCTCCCAAAGCCTGCCCTAAATTGCTACGTGGGGTGGTAAACGCCAACAGCAGAACCCAGCACTAAGCTTGGCAAATAACTATCTTCCTATTTTGCTGAAAAGATCATGCAATTTCTTGAAGGCTTCTCAAACAGCATGGGTCTGCTCCTCCTATACCAGCCAACAACAACCCACTTGTACTGAAGACTATACCCTAAGGCATTCACACCAAGGCCTGAATTAAGGTTCCCCAGGCAGCCTTAAATTTGACTTTTCCTTAATTGTGAGCCCTTCATTTTGCAACCTTAATACTTTTTTAATGCATGGGCTGGAGAGTACCAGCATGGGTCTCAAGGAGGCCAAAGAGGAGGAGGTTACAGTAATCAGCACAGGTGCTCACCAAGCCATGAACTCGCATATAAGCACTCGGACAAAAAGGAAGGCTTGAGTTTGTTAAAATGGTTGGAGAAAGAACTGGCAAGATCTGGGGACAAGTGGTAAGAGTATGTGTGAAAAATGTAAGTCAATTCCTTCTAAAGAGCTTGAGTTCTGTGCCTTTATAGTCATGTCCAGAAAGCATGCTGATTTTGATACAGGACTGAATATCTAGAGATCTGGAATTTATTTATTCTAGGCTCTGCTGGAGACAGATTGTATGTGATTTTGGGCAAATCATTTAATCTGTGCCTCAATTTTTGCCACTTTAAAATGGGAATGATAATACTTCCCTATCTCACAGATATGTTCGGAGGATACATTCATTAATGGGTCACCCTTTCCATTAAGGTTCCATTTATAAATTGTTTGTAAAGGGTTAGCAAATATTTAGTAGATGTTATAAGTATGTAATAGACATGTGCTATAGAACTTGAGAGTATTATACATTATAGCTGTTGTTACTATGATTGGTTATTTTCTATCACTTCCTAAAGAGACCTTTCACAAATTCAGCAGATTATACTTACTTGCCTCACAGCCATTTCTATAATTGTAAGGAATTTATGCAGCCTGAGCAGTGCTTGTAATTTATCCTGTTTGTAAGGAACTCATGAAGCCTACGCAGGGCTTGCAATTAAATTAGTATACCTTACTACCTATCGGTCTTTGCCCACCAGAGGCTACCCATGCCAACTATAGTTTATAAGAAGTTAGTGAGTACCAGTCTTTGCTCAGTGCAGTGGCTGTCTGTTTCCTTACCCACTAGGGGCTGCATTGTGTTCTCAGAATAAAGCCTGGTGCCACTGCTGCGTCACCTGGATCTGAATCTGTTCTGAGCGTTATCTCGTTCTGTGACAATAATAGGCACTATTCTTGGTAGGTAAGTAATTTCTGTTTCAGCCTTATTTTTGTCCTTCTTTTGGATAGTCCAATTCAGTTCACATCTGCTTTGTAAGGTGATGGTTGTTTATTCTTCCCTAGGTGGACTGAATGTCTCTAAGGCACAGTAACAGTCCATTTCTTCCTGCAATGGAAATCTGAATGGGAGTGCTCTTTTTGTGTTTGCACTCAGAATACTGCCTAAAGCCTTGTTGCAAGCCAGACACTAAGGGCAATGTACTGAATCTGAGGAGCAAGAAAAATGAAAGTGCACCTGCAGTTAAAAATATACTGTTTAAACAGAAATGTATATAAAATTCTTTATGAGCTCACAAATTGAAGATGTATATCCCGTTTCCCATGTAGAGACCAACTTAAAGCTCCAGGAAAGAATCTACATTTTAAACAGAATGACAGATTATTTTATTTTTTAGTGTTAGCAGCAAGACTTTGTATTGCACATTCTTGGGAAAACCTGACTTCTCCTGGGGAATTGTGATATAGTAAAATATGGACTATCCTTGAAATGGAAAACCTTTCACACTAAGTATGTACACAAGGGAAGCACCAAAAAAAGAATAGGTATTTAGAAATTTGGTCGCCCTTTTTAGCACACTCCAAGGCAGAGGCCAGCATCTTTAGCTCGGTATTCTGAATATTAACCTGCTCCTGAATAGTAATGGAAGATGTAGTATGTTAATGTTAATACTCAGTCTGTATTTAGACAAAACCATAAATTAAACCCTCTGAGCCACAGGTGCCATTTTTCTGGGTGGGTGCTCCACCCTTTCTCCATCCTGAGGTCCCACCCCCACTTTGCTCCTCCCCCCAGTGACCCGCCCTCACTCCACCTCTTCCTGCCCCTGCTCCATCCCTTCCCCTAGTGCCTTCTGCCCACCGCCAAATAGCTGATCAGTGGGGGCTGCCGAACAGCTGATCGGCAGGGCCCACTGAACAGCTGATCAGCAGGGGGCTGGTGGGTGCTGAGCACTCACTATTTTTTTCCATGGGTGCTCCAGCTCTGGAGCTCCAGCTCTGGAGCACCTACAGAGTCAGCACCTATGCTCTGAGCAGTCATGTATTGGAAGGCCACTAGCAACTCTTGGAAGCCTCTTGTTAGAAATCTGTCCCGTGAATTAAATTAGCTTATGAATTGCCATGCTGGCTCACACTAATGGTCCATTCAATCCAATATTTTGTTTCTGATGGGACCAGTAGCAGATACTATTGAGACTGCTCTGCAAGTATATGCACCCATGATTCATGTACCTGCTCACCAGATGTGATATACAGTTATGTAGGGAGCCCGACGTGAAAATTTTGTTCTGTCACTTATGTAGAAGAGGCTGAATATATAAGGAATACGGTATTAAAAACACTATGATGATTACTGCATGGCAAATACGAAAAGAAACACGTCTTTAAAATCACTCACTCTGATTAGGTGGCACACTTTCCTTCTGTGTCACATATACTGCTTTGCATATCAAATGCACAGAAAAATCATTTTGAATCTCTGCAGAGTGCTTAGACTTGTTTTTTAAACTTCAGCAAGAGTGTAAGTCTTTAAATACATTTTATTGTTTCTTAACACCTCTTGAGACAAGTCCAAGTTAATTAGATTGTGAGCCTGCTCCAAGGGTTATGTATTAGAGATTCTGATATGCAGTTCTTGTACTTTTATGTCAGCTTCCAGAATTTTTTTCTCCAGTATCCTCCTCAGTTTCCCCTTTGATTTTCTATAAAACACTTTTGCGTGGCACAGCACCACTACCCCTCAAACCCAAACCCTACCAAACCCCTGAATCTTCCAGCACAGGACTCCTTTACATTGTTAGCCTTATAATTGTAATGACCTTATGCAAAATTGGAGCCCCTGTCTTCAGCAGTGCATGGAGAACCTGAATGTGAACTGTCCTCCTCCTGCAGGCCCACTGGTGGAGGTGGAGGGCTTGTCTTCACTACCCACCCGGATCGGCGGGTAGAAATAGATCTCTCGGGGATCGATTTATCGTGTCTCGTCAGGATACGATAATCGATCCCTGAATCGATGCGCGTACTCCACCAGCCCAGGTAGGAGTAAGCGCCGTCGATGGAGGAGCCGTGGCGGTTGATTTGCTGCCGTCCTCACAGCAGGGTAAGTCGGATCAGATACGTCGAATTCAGCTACGCTATCCCCATAGCTGAATTTGCGTATCTGAAATCGATCCCCCCCATATAGACATAGCCGGAGATCTGGCCTTTTGTTGCCTCCTGATTGGACCTACCATTGGAATAGGAGAGCAAAGGCAGTCCATGAATTGTTATGTCTATATGGTAGAGATTCCCAATGTGCTTGTGCCTGGAGTTGACTTTGTCACATTTACATCATTGTTCTGTTCTACTTTGGCCAGTTTGGGTTGCTTGATAATGAAACAAAGTACTCACTTTCCTTTCTCCCTGCTTCACTCTGGTCCTGGAGATGTGAGTATTACCTCCTCAGTATCTCCAACCTCTGCTTGCCTCAGAAGGGAGCGTCCAAACTTGACAAGTCCATACTCCAGCCCTTTATATGATAGCACAATATGCTACTACTGGGCCACAAAGCTGACTTGAAACCTAAAGTTACAACTGGAGCTAACAATACCTGTGTGTGTGATAAGTGTTGGCAAATGTAAAATTTTTAAATGACAACCACACTACTAATTTCCCGCAATTAAAAAAAAATTATTTGACAGACAGTATGCAAGGAAAATCTAATCTAATCAAGCAGCTGTGCAGTCTTGAGGGAGCTTCTTTCTTATATGAATATAACTAATTTAGAAACGTGCATAAGTGGAAGCTGAAAAAGAATGAGCAACAGCTGCCCATACTGCTCTGTGTAGAGTGACTGTTGGCAAATATGCAGTGTCATATCTTGTAGACTTCATTGGAGCTTGCTTTTCTGTGTGACATACCCAAGATAATGAAACCCAATATCTGATGAGACTATGTTATCCCTGCTTGATTTTCAATATGCATTATATCAAGCTTCTAATCTATTTGGTCAATTTACTGCATATTCTATCAAACTTAAAATATATTTTGAGTTCACTGTACTTCATATTCATCCCATTATGCTTTAATAAATTCAAACGTAATCTTTAATCTGTAATGCATTTTCATTGTATTCAGTGCAATATACCATTTTTTTCGGAGGGGAGGGGGACAAGTATTACTAATAAGCTTTTTTATATGCTTCAGTAATTCTATTACATTATAAAAGCACTTGATAGGAGATGTTTATCAACATTTCCATTATACAATCTGATTTGTGGGGGCCTTTAAGTTGGCTGCAATTTTGTATCAAATGTCTATCAAAGGATTCTGGGAGTAACCATTTAAACATGTGACTGAAAACAAAATCTGTTCATGGTTTATGCTGGTTTAGTTTAAAGGCTCAGTAGTTTATGCTGTCCCAATCCAGTTTTTAGGATTTAAATCAATGCTGGGGATCAGGGAGTTCTGAAGCTCATTGAAGTCAAAGGGAGCTATTATAGAGAGCATCGGTAATCTGTCCATGCCAGGCTTTGATCTAGTTGTTGCACCAATGGATTTGGGGGCCTGGATTGCTGGGTCCTATTCCTAGCCCTGCCACTGACTCTCTGTATGACCTTGGGCAAGTGATTTAACTTCTTTTTCCCCATCTGAAAAATGAAGACAATACTACTTACCTACCTCACAGGGTTGTTGAAAGTGTTAATTAATTAATGCTTGTAAAGTACTTAGAGATCATTGGATGGAAATGCACTATACTAGTGGGAAGCATTATTATACTATGTAAATATTAACTGAGATTTTTTTTCTTTCTTTTAGATTATTACTCTAAGAGACTATATTCCAAAAATCATTGGCCCAGAGGCTTTTAATCAGTATCTTGGTCTGTATAAAGGCTATGATCACAGAATAAATCCCACGGCTTCAAATGTATTTTCTACCGCTGCTTTTCGATTTGGTCATGCAACAATACACCCAATAATAAAGAGACTTAATGCTCAGTATCAAGATGACCCAGACCTCCCAAATCTTCATATGCATGAAGTTTTTTTTAGTCCCTGGAGGCTCATTAAAGAAGGTATGTTTTTATGTGGACTACATCTTTTCACATTATTGCAGCATTTTCCAAACCTCTTCCTAATTGCATTTCAAAATCTTATAAAATCAAGAATATTCATTTAATTGCATCATTGGTTCAGGTTGTTGAACAGTGCCCAAAGAATTAATGTCAACCGGGACAATTTATTTTTGTTAACTAGTCTTTTGAAACACACAAACACCGTTCATTAGAAACATCTCATTCATCTCATATAATCAGTCTGTTAGCAGTGTTTCTGCTGTCTTAAGAAACAGACAGTACCTCTTAACTGCATTATTATTTTCTTTTCAAAATGGAGCATATCATTATTTTGTTTGAATTTAAAGACATTTAAGGTGAATAATTTTAAAAATGTAGAGAGAAAAGTGCATGCAGAAATATTAAGAAAATTTATAATTATTTTGTTTTCACGTGTACTTTGACACTGCATTGGTTTTATGTTTTAAAGGAGGTTTGGACCCTTTACTAAGAGGTATTCTAGCAAAGTCAGCAAAACTACTGATGCAGGATCAAATCATGAATGAAGAATTAACAGAAAGGCTCGTTGTATTGTCAAATAATGGGTCATTGGACTTAGCATCATTAAATTTACAGCGTGGACGTGATCATGGACTCCCAGGTCTATTACTTTTTTCTAGATTTTCTATGCTAATGATTCAGACATCACTACCTGTATTTGTAGCATACTGGAAATTTACCAACATGGTTATTAAGTGAAAGCTATGTCTAGTTAAACAGAGACGTTACAGCAGTCTCTTTTAGGAATACACAACAAGAGTAAAAAGTAGCTATAATGAAGACAAAATATTCAGTAGCAATAGATATGAAAACAACCTCCTTAGTTTGAAAGGGACAAGCCATAATGCCGAAGGTTACTGTATGTATCTGGAGTGGTTTTTTAGTAACTATGACTTTTATTAGAATTGGTCAACATTTTTCAAATCTCAAAATTTTAAATGTTATTAAAAAAAAATCACAACAATTGTTACAATTTTCCCCTATGCTTTTCAATGAGCTCTACCTATTAGGTTTTTTCTAAAAAATGAAAGACAACCATAAACCTTCAGTTTAAATTATTTTTATTTGAGCTTAAGGAGAACAATATGGAGAAAGAAAAGTCGTCTCTATGGGTTGCACAATGTAATTCCCACTTCAGGTAGCGTTATTGTGCTAGTGCACTAAAAATAGCAGTGTGGCCACGGCAGCATGGGCAGCAACCTGAGCTAGCCACTTGAGTACTGTCCCATCCGATATCCGATGTATGTACTTGGGTTGCTAGCATAAGCTGCTGCCCATACTGCCACAGCTGAATTGCTATTTTTACCATCCAAGATCAAAGCTAGAGCACGTATGTATAGGCGAGCTGGGCATTACATCACTAAGGACAGTGCAGATGTACCCAAAAGGAATTGCATAGTGTGTGTATGTGTCTCTTCTGTCTCTGCAGACAGGCATAGCTCAGAAATGGAGAAGTGCAGTGCACAGAAAACGAAGGCATTGAAGTGTCTAATGCTCAGTGGCTGAAGCAGACATGGGGCAGTCCAGAGCCATGATCAAGTAGTGTGTGGGTGGTCTAGTAGCCAGGAGGGCAATCAGTATTAGAACTACTCCCAAGCAATGGTCGGCATTCTTTCAGGGGGTCGGTAGCTGGGGGATCCAAACCAAGGGGCGAGGTGGCAAGGCAGGGCAATGCAGCAAGGCAGTTTAGGCAACAACCAGCAGGCAATGGCCTGATGCTCAGACAGTTTCCTCTTCCTGTTGGGATCTTTATATAGTCCCGGTATCCCATGGGAATGCTGTCTATCCTGCCAGTCGGGTGTGGCTGCTGGAGCTGTAGACACTTAGCAAAGGCTGCTGGTCAGGGGTGGTGATTCATCATTACCACAGTAGTGTGGAGGCGACAGATGCCATCTAAGGACCTCAATGGGCCTTGTTTTGATACCAGTTTCCTGACATCATCACAGTTACATATGCTACCAATGCCCTTCCTGAGAAGTATCATTAGATGCCATTGATTCACCAAAATGGTTTTAATAGTTTAGTTTTTCCAGACAGAGAAAGAGAAAATGTCATTTTTATATTATGAAGCAATTCTCATCCTCTCTCATTTTCCCTTTTTCTGGTATCAGCCTGACACACTATAACCTCTACTGCTTGCACTGACCTGACCCCGTGTGTGTTTGAAATTTGTTCTTCATTCACTCATTTCATTAATTCTAAGAGGCAACTTTGCAGATTCAGGCAGTGTAGTAAGACTTTCACAGAGCAGTTATTTTGAGGCCTATGTTTCTTTCTCTTTCTCCCTTTCATTAATTAAAAATTAGATTCAAGGTACAAACGAATGGGCTAAGACTTTTCATTCTAAGATGCACTAGCCACAAACTTTTGAATTTTCCTTTTGCTCTATTATCAAGTCTTCAGAATTTTTAGAAATGGAAATGTTATTTTATGCCTAGTTTTACCTTCATTAACATAATGTAGCTTCAATATATCTAAAAGGCCAGATCTTGCTACCCTTACTCACACTGAGTAGTACCTCACTCTGTGAATAGGCCCATTGATTTCAACCAATTCTAATAGGTCTATTTTCAGAGGGAGATGCTAGTTGGTGTGAGTAAGGGTATCAGAATCTGGCTCCTATAAATGAGTTAGTTTTGGGTGCTATGTTAAACTGTCAGATTTCAAGGCTAATCTCTCTATAAACTTAATATCATTAGGTTACAATGACTGGCGAGAATTCTGCGGTTTACCAAGACTGGAAACTCAAACTGACCTGAACACGGTAATAGCTAATAGGAAGGTAGCTGAAAAAATCATGGAATTGTACAGCAATCCAAACAATATTGATGTTTGGCTTGGTGGTCTAGCAGAAAACTTCCTCCCAGGTGCTAGAACTGGCCCACTGTTTGCATGTATAATTGGAAAGCAAATGAAAGCCCTGAGGGAAGGTGACCGGTAAGTTTATTTATATTGTTTATTTGTACAGAGCACCTCAAAGGGTGCTGGGCACTTCACAGATATGAGAAGACAGGTCCCTGGCCCTTATAAAAACATTATGACAAAGGAGGGAGAAAAAAGGAAAACATACATGCATTTTATCCCCACCCCCACTGCCACTTTTTATTGTTCCTTAATCCCTTGTTTACCAATTTCTCTTTTTTTTTTCCGGAACCTTCTCTATTCTTCCTTTTGTTTGTATGTGGGCATGATTCCTACCAGCAAGGAGACCACTCCTATGGCACATTGTAAATGAACAGCAATCCCATGCTGCTATTCAGCAGGCTGATTCCTCCCGTAAGAGGAATCAGCCCCTGTATGAGACTTAAGTGGTGCAAAAAATCTTGTGCAAGTGTACAGAGTTTTACCTGTATAAGAACTGCAGGCTCAGGCTCTGAATGAACACAAGATTCAGACATAGTAACATAAAAAGTCAATTTTTTTAATGAATTTTAGAATCAACTGGATTTTTTTTTTATAAACAGATGCAACTTGTAGACATGAGGAATGCGAAAAAGGGTCCACATGATCAAATACAGCTGGATTCACTCCTGCCAGCCCTTAAGGAACTAATCCTGATTCACCGGAGGAGACCCATTTTATATTACTTATTACATCTTTAGGGCCAGAGTCTCATTTAGATTGATTCTCTTTTCACACCCACATTAAAGCCCCTTTATAGTGCCAGAGTGATGTGACATCTCTGTGAAGTACATAAAAATCTAGCCCATAGGGTTTAAATGTGGACTTTTAAAAATTTTAATGAACTCAAAGAATGTAACACAAAGAATGAAACATTGTTAAATGCTGTGCCATTTTTATGATCATGACAAACAATTCACACAGACTTGTTTTAAACACCATTTCAAGTCTTCTGAATCGTTTACAATTTTACTAGCATTAAATAACTGTATGAGAATGTTAGATATGATGGTTTTTATTGTCCCTTATTTTGAGTATATGAAACATATCTGAGTTTAAATAACAACATATATGCTTAATTCTGCCTTCTTTCTGACCTTTCCCCCCTTAAGTTGGCTTCTTTAACAATTTAACCTCTTAAAATAGCAATCAAATGCAGTGGTTGTTTGGCTGCTAATAATAAAAACACTCACTTCCTTCCATTAAGTTTGAAAAACCATTGGACTATAGCGACAGCGCATAGTTTTGAGCAGGTGGGACTTAGAATGAATGTTGGTAAGACCGAGGCTATGATAACTGAGCAGGTGGGCTCACCATAAAGGAAATTATAGGCAGACTGCTTAGAAGAGTGAAAGAATTTAAATGCCTAGGTTCAGTGGTTGCTGACAAAGGTCCCCCTGAGCTTAGTCTGGAGAAGAGAAAAATGAGAGGGGACATAACCATCTTCAAGTAAGTAAAATGTTATTATAAAGAGAAGGGTGATAAATTGTTCTCCATAACCACTGAGGGGAGGACAAGAAGTAACAGGCTTAAATTGCAGCAAGAGAGATTTTGGCTAGACATTAGGAAAAACTTCCTAACTGTAAGGAAGTTACCTAGGGAGATTTTGGAATCTCTGTCATTTATTTCCATCATTAGAGGTTTTTAAGAACTAGTTAGACAAACACATGTCAGGGATGGTCTAGATCAGTGGTTCTCAAAGCCGGTCCGCCGCTTGTTCAGGGAAAGCCCTTGGCGGGCCAGAACGGTTTGTTTACCTACTACTTCCGCAAGTTCGGCCAATCGCGGCTCCCACTGGCCGTGGTTCTCCGCTCCAGGCCAATGGGGGCTGCGGGAAGTGGTGCAGGCCTAGGGCTGTGCTGGCCACCCTTCCCGCAGCCCCCATTGGCCTGGAGCGGAGAACCACGGCCAGTGGGAGCCGCGATTGGCCGAACCTGCAGACGCGGCAGGTAAACAAACCGGCCCGACCTGCCAGGGGCTTTCCCTGAACAAGCGGCGGACAGGCTTTGAGAACCACTGGTCTAGATAACACTTAGTCCTGCTTCAGTGCAGGAGACTGTACTAGATGACCTATCGAGGTCCCTTCCAGTCCTATATTTCTATGATTTCTATGCCTGACATTGTACCAATGCTGCTTGATACAAATGGTGTGAGCTGACCCTAGTTCTCTGTGATAAAAAGATGCCAATAAAGTTAAAAGGTTTAGTGTTTAAGGGTACATCTACACTGCAAAAAAAAAAAAAAAGATTGTCAACAAGATTCAGAGCCAAGGTCAACTGACTCAGGCTTACAGGTCTCTGGCATGGGGGTTAAAAATAACAGTATGGACTTTGCTGCTTGGGCTGGAGCTTGGGCTCTGAAACCCAGCAAAGGGGGTGAGTCTCAGAGCCCAAGTGGCAACGTCTTCACTGTTACTTTTAGCCCTGTGGTACAGGCTGCAGTCAGCTGATCTGGGCTCTGAACTCGCTGCCATGGGGCCTTTTTTTTTTTTTAGTGTAGACATACCCTAAAACTGTAATTTGACCCATCCTAATGTATGGAACCAAGATTTGACCAGACACAGGAAAAGAAATCATTATGCTCTCCACCATGGAAATGAAGATGTTGAGATGGTCAAATGTTAGGACACGCTATGATAGGAAATGAAAGGAGGTTGTGAGGGACCTAATGCTGGTTGCCCCAGTTGAAGACAAATATAGGGAAGCTAGGCTATGTTGGTATAGACACATCCAGTGGAGACCTGAAAGCAATATTGGTAGGGTGGCCCTTGCGATGATCATGGACAGCCAATAGAGAGGCCAAAGATTCATCCATGGATCAAATATCTGCGGACCTTAGACTAATTGCGCAACAGCAAGATGTACAATCATGAGTTTTGGAAGAAGACTATAAAATTTGTCGACCCTGAATAGGGAAGCATCAAGAAGGAGGAAGAAGAAGATTGTATAGGCAGGCTGTGATAACAAGTTGATTGATAAATACTGAAGAAACATGTAATGTTTTGTTTTGGTTGTCACCCCTCTAGGGGAGTGAAAGGAAAAATGTATTTTTTTTTATTTTAGTGACTTTGGTTTAGTAATACAATGCTCAGGTAACCTGATGATTCATATATTAATTGAGATACCAGTTAACAAGGAGTTCAAGATATCAGTTCCCAGATATTAATTTAAGATGATAAATCAGAATTGAGCAAGATTTCTGACTGGTTGAATTCTATCCTGGTAGGATCGGAATCTCTCAGCTACATGACTAAAATTGAAATTATTCCCTTTTGAATTGGCCAAACCAAGTCCGCACTTTAACTCGAATAGAGTCATTTGGAAAAAATTGTTTCTGCTCCATCTGGAGTTACTCCTTTATCCCTTGCCTTTTCTTATTCAGATGCTTCACGCTGTGTTGGGATTCAGAAAGAGGCAAAAATTCTACAGCTGCTCTTTTGGCTGTCTGGTTGTACACTATACTATGGCTTGTCATGTCTGAATTTATTGTTACCCTAAGATGAAAAGTTCCCTCTCAAGCTAATTTATATATATATTGGTGATGTGTCCTGTAACATATGTTTAACAAATTCTGTATTGTGGAGACATATAAGTTACAAATGCATAGTCTGACTACTGGTGCATGTAACACTAAGCATGAGGTACAAGCAACTTACCTTCAAATTTATCTTCTAAGATTTTACTTTTATATTTATTATGTTTAATTAATGAAAAGCAATAACTGATTACCAGGTCTGCATATATGAATAGTGATCATCCTTGTGCTGAAAATATCTCCATTCTTTATGGCTTGAAGGATATCTGATTTCCTGGTGGGAGGAGGTTGATAGTGAAGAAGGGAAGAATGCAAGAGCAGTATCAAATTGTTCTTCCCCACTCAACCTTCTGAACACACTCCCACCCACCCCCACCTCCAGTTCATTATTCTAATGGATAACTTCCTCTTCTGATGTCAGAGCCACCTCTTTTAGATTCCCCTCCCCACCCCTTTTACAAGATGATTTCATTCTCTTGATTTTGCTAATTTTAAGGGATGGTTCTTAAGGTGCCCCTGTCAGGGAAAAAGGGTTAGACCTTGGTCCTGCTAAGTGCTGAGCACTCCTGTAAGATACTAAGCACGCTCAACTCCCACTGACTTCCACAGGAGCTGGGGATGTTTAGCATGTTGCAGGAGAACTGAGCACTTTGCAGGATTGAGCCCATAGCCAATTTTACATTGAGCACATACATCTTCAACCAATGTAGTTGTTGTTGTATTGCCGTTAGTACAGTGCATATTCCTTAACTGTGTTTTGATTAAATGCTTATTTTTTGTCTCGTAATAATAGTGCACTCTGCAAACAGAAATAATTAACACCTGGAATGTAATCTTTTTAACAAGCACCTACCAATCTTTGCAGATTTTGGTGGGAAAACAGTCATGTTCTCACAGAAACTCAAAGGCATGAACTAAGAAAACATTCTTTGTCCCGTATAATCTGCGATAACACAGGCCTCTCAGAAGTGCCACCTGATGCCTTTCAACTTGGGAAGTTTCCTCAAGACTTTGAGTCATGTGACAATATACCAGGAATAAATTTAGAAGTGTGGCAGGAAAGCAATCAGCAAGGTAATCTGAGAATTATGTATCTTTATTAAATGGGTCGGAAGAATGGTCCAGTGGCTAGAGAGTTGCCCAGAACTTGGGAGACATGAGTTCAAGTGCCTGCTCTAACACAGATTTCCTGTGACATTAGGCAAATCATTTCATCTCACTATACCTCAGTTCCCCATTTGTAAAATAACACTTCCGTACTACACTGGATGTTTGAATATAAATACATTAGTGATTGTGAGGCACTGCAGTAATAAGGGCCACATAAGTACCATAGATAGGTAATAATTGTACAGTACTCACCATTAAAAAGTCAACATTTAACAAGAGTTACCACATACTGATATCCTAAATACTGCACTTAGGCCCTTAAAAGCTCCTGCACATGAGTAGTCCCACTGAAGTCAACATAGAGTAGACATGGAGAGTGATATGCGAGAGATAAAAATAGTAAAGCTGAAATGTACCTTTAACTCATAATATGTCCTTTTTATATTTCTAGAGGAAACATGTGGATTCCCAAAGGGAATAGCAAATGGAAACTTTGTATATTGCTCAGAATTTGGAAAATCCATGGTGATTTACTCATGTCAACATGGGTACCAACTCCAAGGAGAAGAACAATTAACCTGTACAAGCAGAGGATGGAATTTTCAACCACCAGTTTGTATAGGTATCTGTATTCACACATCTGACTTTTTAATGACCAAGACTAATACGATTCACAAAAAATAAAAATTTCTTATTATTTCCTGTTAAAAAATAAACTATTTCAAAACTCCTTTCTCTTTCCATGTTCTGGCAGCCATAGAAGCTGTTGTATATGGTGAAAAGATAGCTAACCTTCTGAGGTGGTACTGATGGGCCTCCACAGCTACTTCACACTTCCCTTCCCAGCTGCAGAATCTCAGACTCTTCCAGTCCTGATCCAGCAATTGGGCTTATGCAAGTGATACCAAGGGAAACTAACTAGTAAAACATGTTTTTAGTAAAACATGAACTATTAAACTAGCATGAAGCTATGTAGCTCCCAGTGGGAATCTCATAAGGGAAAAGAAGTGAGAGTTGTACATTTCCTCTTCCTGCAGCCAGAATCATAACAACAGCTAGGGACTGTTCCAGGCACTTTTCTGTTGCTGTTTCAGTGGACTCTCTCCTGTACATGACTAGTACAGTACCAGCAGCCTATGCATCCAGCCAGTAAGTGAGGAAAGAGAAAAAAAAAAAAAAAGGGAATTTTGATCTTAAAACAAAAAGGCAAAATGTTTTTGTTTTAATAATAATAAGCCCCCAACAGGTTTACTGAAGTGCTATAACTATTGCAACTTGAAACATACAGCTGATTGAAAAATGGCAAAGACATTTTTTCTTGTTCATTCAGCAATTTTAATGAATGTTTATTAAAATTTTCAGGGGCTGGCTTTTGTTTCTCTATCTTCTTCTTCCCATTTCTCCCCTTCCCCCCCCCCCTTTTTTCCTTTGGAGGGAAGGAAACGGGGAGAGAGAGAAAGAGAAAAGAGGGACCATTGCAAACATTGCATTAATGGAATTTCACTATATATGAGTTTACTTTATGCAGGATTCCACACACTCTGTGTGCTCATCTTTGTGAGTTTATATAGACTCAAATGGTTCAGACTTCATGAGAACACTCAAGAAAATGAACCCTGAAAAAGGCCATGTTTAGGAATACTTCATGGAGTATGGTGACAAATTAATTTGAATGCAAGTGCTACAGCTGATCTTCAATAAGTCTGTTTATCAGCATGTCTATGGAAGTGGAATAAAAAGCTTTTTACTTTAATTGTATACCATATATAGAAAAATCAAATGAAATTTGCAGCTTTCTCCTTTATTCAAATCCTACTTATCCTCTGAGTTCCACCCACATAAATACCATATAAAGAAATAAAGCTGTTAAATGAATTATAATAATTCTTTTTCAATAGATTAATGTTCTGGCAGCAAACTGAATACATAAATTACATGAATGACTCATTTCCTATCCTAGTTTTTGTTAATATGTTAAGTAATGTCAACAAAAGGCTGTATATCTGCTATAGGAAAACAAGCAGTATAATAAACACTGCATTTATTAACAGAAAACCATCAAAACCCTCTTAATGCAGATGTTACTTGAGTTTTACAGTAGGAAGCTCTTACTTTGTTACATGCCTGTCTGGGCAGTGTGTTTCCAGTCTTTAAACATAGTACCATAAATTAAGAATAAATCAAGTAATTAAATAAAGAAGGCATTTCTGAAGATGGTTTCAAAATTACACACATTTTTGGAAGAAAAGGGGGGGTCTAATGGCAAGAGTATAGGATTGGCAGCACTGTACCCTAGGGGAAGGTTCACAGGAAAATTGAAAGCACCAAGAAGTTTTGTGGTGAATGTGTGTGTGTGTGTGTGTGTGTGTGTGTGTGTGTGCGCAAGATTATCTAATGTTATGCACAGTGCTTTCAGAAATTCAATAACTTGCGGTTTATAACTTGGAAATAACTATAGCTTAACTTTTAGTAAACAACCACAGATTATTTGATGGCTGGACTAGTTACTCTCTTCTCTCTCTCTCTTTTTTTTTTTTTGGTCATTTCCAGCAGTAAAAAGTTACACATAATTGCTTTGCAATTTTGCCCACATATAAGAAAGGAGTAATATTGACATTATTGATACATATTTTATTTTTAGTTCACAAATATCCTTCTCTTTGGAATACCTGTTACAGACAGTTGGTGTGTACAAGAATGTTGTGAACGAGGCTCTTAGTTTCTGACTCTCTGTTATCAATGTGTTTCCACATTATAGATATCAATGAATGTGAAAACCAAATTAATCCATCGTGCCACACATCTGCTAAATGCATTAACACCATAGGCGGCTACCAGTGTGTTTGCACAGATCCTTACGAACTGGCAGAAGATGGAAGAACGTGCTTAGGTAATATAATGATCCCTCTGTCCATTAAAACTGTTCCAGTGGTCTGTTTGTGCAAATTGTAAACCTTGGGTCAAAAATGATTTGTTATACAAAATATGTTGTTAACAGATTTCACACACACACACACACACACACACACACACACACTCACACACACAGAATTTAAACAATCAGACCTATAAAGATACAGTCAAATTTTGTCGGGCAAAGTCAAAGCATTGATTATATACACACAGCAATCACCCTTCAAATCTACAGCCTAAACCTCATCATTTTCACTTTTCCTTTGTTATGCCCCAAGATAGTATTTGACTCACTACCTACCTGAGTCAGATACTAGATAGAGAATACTGATATTACTGAGGTAACATTATCAAGTCATTAAAGTTAAAGTGGAAAGTTTTTAAGAGCAACATGAAGCTTTAGAATACACAAACTTCCCTTTAAGAGAAGAGATGCAGTAGTAATATGCTTGCACTTAGTAAGTTGTTAAGCCTATGGAAGCTTGAATATTCTAGATTTCTCTTGGTCGGTGTTTAGAAAACACACTCAATGTGTTAGATGATTTTCCCTCATTGTTTGAGCAAAATTCAGGATGCTAACTTCCTCTTCTAACCTGAGCTGCGGAGAGAGATAAACAAAGAAAGCTTCAAGCTTTTCACAGAGGGAATACCTCATGCATTGATAGAGAGGTTCAATAGATTCACAGATTTTAAAGCCAGAAATGACCATTATGATTAGTCTGATTTCTCGCATAAACAGGCCATACAATAGTCAATCTCCATACAGTCTTTATAGCCCATTCAATCCTAGACCGCTATGCTCAGACAAATGACAGGAGTAGTTTATGTGATTTACCCACCTATGTATTGAGTTGAGGCAATTAAGCCATTTCCTATTGGCAAATGAGATGAGCTCAATTTAGCCTTACTGGTGCATAAGGGTGTGAATTGCTACCCCTATTCCAGTGAGGAGATCTGCATCTCCATCATTGCATTGCCATCTTCCCCTAGAGTTTCTGCTGGGGAAGGTAGATTTAATTTGAAGCTGGAGATCCATATAATCCCTGCTGGCAGAGTGTGCTCCAGGGATGCACAAAATTAGCATATCCTGCTGCATGTGAGACAGTGATACTTACTTTTGGAGCTGCACTGGCTGGCCAAGTGCCCCTCACCAGATGACTTGTACTTCCACAACTGCTCCACCCTTCTGGCAGAATCCTGTGGCGGTCAAGAGCGGTGGGGTACTTAAAAGGGCAGCATACTTAAAGTGGGGACGGCATATTTAAATGGGCAAGGCGCATCTCTGTGTCTGTCCCACACACATGGTGTGTGTCTCTGTCTCTGTCTCTCTCTCACACACACACACACACACACTGTCTTTCACACTCACCTCCCATCACATACTTGTATTGTTGTTATTGTTACTTTTTGAGACTTCTTTCAAAGTGTGTTATTTTAGTTTTTTGACTGGTCTATGCATTTCATAATTTTTATTTCTCTCTTATGCTTAAATCTTTGAGTGGTGAGTTCTAAAATACCTACTCTCTCGTGGCTGGAGTAATTATCCCTATGGCAACTTTTTAAAAGTATATATTATATCTAGGGTTTTGGTTTCTACTGGTGGCGCACATCTGCACATTCCCTTGATATGGTGCACATAACAAAATTCATTCTGCACATGGATGGAAAAAATTAGAGGGAACACTGTGCAGCCCCTTGATTATTCTTTTGAGAAATGTCTATTTGTCTAGTTTCATGGCTTGCCCACCTTTAGAGCTCAAAGATCAGTGCTTCTGAGGGTGAAAGGAGAAGGACGAGTTCCCCAAAGTGCCAGCACAGCTACAGGTTGGAGGGATAGGCAGGTGACAGGGCTAATTCACATTTACAAAATGAAACTTAGGAGTTGGTTATCCTGATTCATTGTTATGAACCTCCAAAAAAAAAGGGTGGACTCTTTTGAAGGTAAACATAATGTGATGTATTCTTCAGAACTCTCTATATATAGCACTCTATCTGGTTCAAAAAGTTTTCTTGTTTTAAAGCAATGGTGTATTTTGTAACATTATTGATGGGCTGTGAATCTCATTGAATGTACAGTTTTAGTCTCCCATTTCGCTGCAACCTCAGTTATGGAACCCTGAAGCCAGCTGGACATTGCTTTGAACTGCACAATGAGAATGTCAGCTGATAATACCCCAGAAGAGTCATGCCATATATTCAAGTATCAGGGGATAGCCGTGTTAGTCTGTATCTACAAAAACAACAAGGAGTCTGGTGGCACCTTAAAGACTAACAGATTTATTTGGGCATAA